TGAAGTTGCATAATGCTCTGCCTGAAGACAAAACACCCCTTGTTTCCAAATGCTGAATTACTTGAATAATAGAAAATTGGAAAGTTTCTACAACTAGTTAGCAGTTGTAAGAAATTAAAGGAGACAGCTTCTTGAAACTGTAGCTCAATTAAAGAATTAATCCATCCCAAAAGCTGCGCAAATAATTTGACAGTGAAATTTCTACACATTCCACCACTGTCCAGCTCTTATTAATTTCTCCATTTATATCATTACAATTAGGCTGGTCATAGAGGGCTCAAAGTTTTGCTGATATCTGCTGCAATAAGAGCCATGGGTGGCACCTGACTTGACAAAAAAATCAATTTAAAAATTAGCTGAAAAATTCTCGGCATTAGATGCAGTCAATATTCGATAGTGAAATGGTATTCAGGCAGCCAACATTATTCAACAGCCATGTGTGATCAAGCTAATAAAAGTGCCAATCAAAAGTCTAGAGATCCAAATTCTTTTAACCTCTTCCGGATGACCTCGTGAATATATGCAGCCTATCAGTGGGTGGGCTTTAACATCGAGTGGCCACATATATGCATCTATTGGTAAACAATTTACTGTGCTGTTAGTGTGATTAATGCAAACTCCCAGCACAGCAACTAACATGTACACTAAAGCTCCTGATGCATACTCAGGAGCTTTCCAATCATGTGACCGGTTGTGATTGCCAATCACAGCAGTCACATGATCGGAATGCCTGCCCCTGCCTCCCGGCATTTCGATCTAGGTGAAGGGCCAATAGGCAGAGGGGGAAGGGGTTAATGAGTAAACCAGTAACAGCAAATAAGCAAAAGGCAGCCAACATGTTTTGATGCCAAAACATCCCCCTTCATCAGGGCATAAGATAAATATTTGAGTGTTTAAAGGCCTCAAAGATGCTTCTATAATAAGAACAGGCAGTAATAACTGTACCAGTGTCAGCAGCAAAATACCTAGGGCCCATATTATTTCTCTTCAGCTCTGATGAGGGATTTTCTGGCCCTGAAATGTACTGACTGTCATTTGCTTTTTTTCTGCTATTATTGGTTTAATTATTAAAAGAATTTGTACTCTCCAGACTTTTGTTTGGCTCTCTTACTGACTCAATCACATGTGACTATTTTATTCAGGGAGTTGCTGCACCTGTAGCAGCCTAAAATGGCATTGCTGAACAGTGACTGCATCCGATAAAAGCAGCTACTGTTCAGCCAATAAGTTTCCTTAGGCTTTGCTATGCATTCCTTTGGCTTTGGCCAAGGTGTAGTTGACCATTATCTCCAGCAAGGTGGAGCATTGAAAAAACAATGTGGTTAAGCCAGTCAACATCTAGACAAAACTGAAATATCATTTTTTGATGGACCTAGAGATACAAAATAAGAGTAAAATACAGCACATTAATTACATTACATTTTTTCAAACTAAACATGTTAACAATTTTTTGCTTTCACAAATTGAAGACCTATCTGAGAGCAGAATCCATAAAGGTGTCTGCTATACCAAAGGCTAGCCCACAAATTTTCCTCTGATCTTGGTTTCACATTTTGAATAATGGATCAAATACCCTAAACTTCTGATCTTTTGAGCTACACACCACCCATCTGTTATCTCTCTGTTCACAGAATCAGTGGCCAATAAGGAGACCATTATTCAATAGGACGTCTGAGGACTATGTGAGGGCATTATTTATTCACAAGGGGCAGGACAGCAAACACCAACGTAAGGGAAGTTGAGCCTTTAGAGAAAGAAGAGCAAGAGCAGAAATGCACACAGAAGACATACAATAATTGACAGGTTAAAAAAGAAAGCTAAAAAAGGTATGAAAATAATGTCACATCTGGCAACATCCTACAGAGAATACAAAGTAAGCTTGCAAACAAAGTTTGCAAGACTTACTCAACTTTACATATCTTCACACAGTAGTTAAGATAAGTAATTCTACAAGTAAGCTGATATCCAGCCTGTGCTTTTAAAGTTCCAGACAACACTTCTCCAGACATTGCAGATGGCTGGCTATCTACTTTAAGAAACACTGCCATGGACATGCTGACCTAAGTAAAGTATGCACCAACTGAGGTCAGAATATCTGATCAGCACACTTGTTCCAGGTTAGAGAAATGAATTAATTGAAAAAGCATAACAGACATGCATTTTCAGGGAAAAAGAGAAGCTAGCAATTGCAGCACATATATTTCTCTCAGTACAGTTTACATTAAAGGTTTTAGGTAACACGTGGGGGTTTATTTACTAAAGCTGGAGAGTGCAAAATCAGACTCCCTTCTGCATAGAAACCAATCAGCTTCTAACCTCAGCTTGTTCAATGAAGCTTTGGCAATGAAACCTGGAAGCTGATTGGTTTCTATGCAGAAGTGAGTCTGATTTTGCACTCTCCAGCTTTAGTAAATAAACCCCACAGTGTCCAAGATAACTCTTAAAGGAATGGCCAGGTTCTACAAAAACAAATGCATCAAAGCCCATATTGGTGTGCATATTGGAAAGGATAGACTCTAGTTCATCTAAGCCTTTATTACATAAGTGGGAACAGGTTTCCACTATTAATGGGACTTCTGGCACTATGGCTCACCTTCCACTTTTCTTCTTGCATGTTTAATTTGAATAAAACTAACCAAATGTGCATTTACCAGGCACCCCTAATATTTTTCAATAAAACGTGCATGAATTATTTTAGACTGCTTTAAGGGAAAACATACTTGTACATTTTTTTATATATATATGTTAAGAGAAATGTAACATAAAAATGTTACTTTTTCCTGTTTAATTTGCAAACATTCTTTGCTCTAGTATAGGATGGAAAACAATTTTTTATACCCTAGAACCCTATTTTCAAACAAGGTCTAACGTACATTCAAAAAAATAGTTCAATATACATAATGCTTAAGAATGAAGAGAATAAGAGATCAGAATGTGGCAGTAAGAAAATGAAAACTTATTTTTAACAAGCAGGTTTAAACAAGGGGTCATTGACAGCACAACTAACCTGACTCATCCTGAAATTATAGAGTTATGGAACTTTCTTGAAGGCTTAACTTTAGAAAGAGGAATCTACATTTTCCATGCAGTTCAGTTATATTAACAGCCAGTTAAAGATGAGGGCAATATGTCCACTATGCTGAACAGACAAGTGACTATTAAGCCAATCCCCGTTATATCACTGGCTCTTAAACCCACTGAGCAAGTCTCTTTACCATATTAACATCATTATTCTAATAATTTGCACATATTGACTAAAGTATCACCTCATTGATGATCTGGAACACACTGGTAATTGTATTCTTGTTTTTTTTTTATTTTGTCTTCATATTGCAAGCACAGACTATATTAACATCTGCAAAATAAAAAGGTATCAACCTGATTTGTGCATTTGTATTGTTTAGGTAACCTTACCTTTCAAACACTTAATTCACAATGTAAACATATCCTGGTGTGGCAATGCTATAACTGCCCTCAGGCATACTAAGGACTGTGAATGTTTACTAAGCAACACAAGTGGAAAACCTGACGAAAACCTGATCCATTATTAGCTTTAACATTCTTTTGGATATTATGTTCCATTCAATACATAATACAGTTCAATTGAACACTCAGTTTACATCAGTTAAATATATTCCAGATGCATCTAAACACTTGAAACATATTTAACCTGGAAAAGGCGTTCAACGTTTTACCCATTTGTTTTCTTTCTATAGTCTGAGTAGAAAAGCCTGTTCTCTGCCAGCTTTCTCCAGAGTGAGGCTCTTACTCTCTGTGGGGAAGCAGTAGTCTTTCTGCAGAGGTCTGACATGCCCCCTACTGAATCAGACCTATAGCTCTGCAAACCTCATGATTCCTGCTGATTGGGGAGCTCTGGCTGTGACTTAGCAGGAGGCAAGCAGGACCTCTGCAAAGAGATCTTGCTTCCCTGAAGAAAGCAAGGGTCTGACATTGCAGCATTCATGCAGAGAACAGGCATTTCTGCTCAGGTTGCGGCTGTTTTTGCACACCTTTTGTTTTGATGAACAAGGATTGCATTTAGCCAATTTAGACTGAAAGTTCAACTGGGGTTTAACAATAACTAGCAATTTATATTCTACCATTCACACGGGGATACAAATTAACCTGTAGTTTAAACATTAACTTCATCATGTTTAGAAATGGGTTAGACACATTTACTTGATTTTCACAATGAGCTTTTCTACTTTCATAAAGACAAAAGGAAACCTTGTCAAGGAAAGCTAGTTCAAGTAATGGCAGCCGCCTTGGAAAGTCTGAGATTCACTTCAACAGAAAGCCTGAACCTGTTTGGTGTTTAATTCCAGCACAACAAAGCCTCAGAAACCCATTGAAATCCAGGTGCTTGCCAGTTTTGGTATCGGTTTACCTTGGTCTTACCAGTTTTACTGCGTTGTGTGGCTGCAGACTTCCTGTCAACCTCATCACTAGTATATGTGATATAAACACTTGTATGTGCCCAGATCAAAACTATGCAACATAATTCCCAAGGGGATATGATGGTAATAATACAAGTATACAGAGGCCATTTAGAACATTTCAGCCCATGTGATGTTCAGTATTCCATGCTCTAAGCAGAGATACACTGTGATAGTCCTGCTCTCAGTTATGTAGGATATACCAACATGTACAGAATAAAATAATATGATGCAATTATCTGTACATTAGGGGTTCACATACTAGTCCAGAGCACCTATTTATGTTACCATTGTGTTTTTATCAAATAAGGTAAGAACACCTAATATTTGTACTGATTTCCTATGGCTAAAAAGACACAAAGCACCCAGTGACTGTAAAGATATCCTGATTTATAGAAGCATTTTTAGCAGAAATAATTAGCAACATTGACATCAGCAAAATATCCAAATTTTGGATCAGTATTGATCATTATCCATTTGTTTCCCCTCAATATGAGAGTTATTAAATTCTACTGCAGAAAATGCAAGATATAAAAAAAAGAGATCATGTCCTCATTTGTTTGTTCAAGCGGAGTCCTGACAGTCCATGGTTTCAGCTATATCTTCATGTGATTGTGTTTCAGGTTGCTGTTCCTTTGCTTCAATTTGCTCAGTACAAAATGCATCAACTGGACTGACTTCAACTAAAAAAGAAAAAAAAAGGAAAAAAAAAAGAAAATCATTCTATGTTTCATAGGAAGAGGAATTCAGAATATTCCCTAAATTACAATATTGTCAGTAAGCCACTGGTGGAGAATAGAGATGCAGGAAGATTCTACCATCACGTAATCAGGTTCGTGAACAAGGGTGGGTTTTTTTAGTGATTACATATTAGTGTACTTTCTTGGCACCTTCTGATGCCGTGCCACGCACAGCCTGACATAACAGTGAATGGCTGCGTGTGGCCGTGCTTTTGTCCATCTGCATTTGGTTGCACATGCATGCTCATGTATTTTCTGACCCCAGAACTCTCAAGAGCTTTCAAGAGAATGGCTGCGTTCAGCCACTCACTTGTATGGCAGGCTGTACACAGCATGTGCTGCTCCTGGTGTGCCTGAAGTTATGTTAGGCATATAATATGCCTATAAAAGCCCTGTGTTCATGAACCCTTACTAAACTGCAAGGGAATATAATTGTGCAATTTCAGTGCAAGTACTGAGTATATGGCTCATTAGTGTTTTTATTGCATGCTCAGGATATGAAAAAGCAATAAAACCTCATTCTTTGAACCAAGAGAAAGTGGCATGTGATGAATAATAAAGAACAGTACCAATGATAACTACATTTTACTCTGATAATTCAGCTGGGACATGATCACAGCTACAGGTGTAGGTGGAATGATTATTGGGTTATCCATGCATACATGCACACACAGGTGCTTGGTCACACTTCCCTTTGTACAGGTACTTTCTGTCTGAGCACTGGTTTTGGTTATCTTCCCAAGCAGTAAAATGCTAGTAAAATACGAAATGTGCGTTGTGGGGTTCCAGTTGTGTAATATGGATGTGGTAAACCTTGGGGAACCAGAAAGTACAATAAAATGCAATTCTGTTTTGCATACTACTTAATAAAAGCGGTCAATAACTCTAAACTAGATTATTGTGTTTACGTATGAACAATATTAAATAGCTTGCTGACCGCATAACTTATCTATATGTTGGCAGAGCGGCTCTTCTGTGCTGGATCACGTACCTAGTACGTAATCAGTGCTTCCAGGTAGAGCACGTGCCCGCCGACCCAGTTGCGCTGTGAGTCATTACAGCACAAGCTGAGCAGCAGGGCCCAGCCCATGATTGACCGCTGGGACCTGCTAATCGGCCCAGCAATTCACAGACAGAGTTCTGTGATGTTAAACATCACAGAGATATGTATAATGACAGGTGATCTTGTTGTGTTTTCATTCCCTGCTAAGCAGAGAAAAAAACTACAACATCCTGTAGTAAAATCAGCACACAGTACACTTATTAACACTTCCTAGGCACACAGTTGCCCCAGATGTTAACCCCTTCCTGCCCAGTGTCATTAGTACAGTGTCAGTGCATTTTATTAGCACTGATCACTGTATTAGTGTCACTGCTGATGTCAGTGGCTATTAGTCAGTAGCTGCTGCACTATCACAGTCCCACTATAAGTCGCTGATCGCCGCCATTACTAGTATAGAAAAAATAAATAAATTCCAGTATATATACTGTCATTTGTAGATGCTATACATTTCACAGAAACCAATATACACTTATTGGGATTTTTTTTTTTTACCAAAGACATGTAGCAGAATACATTTTGGCCTAAATTCATGTATAAATTTGATTATTTTATTAGACATGTTTTATAGCAAAAAGTAAAAAATATTTTCAAATTTTTAGGTAATTTTTTGATTATATAAAAATGATTAAAAAAAAAAAAAAAACAAAGGTGATCAAATACCACAACAGAAATCTCTATTTCTGCAAAAAACTTATATAAATTTAATTTGTGTACAGTGTTGCATGACCGTGCAATTGTCAGTTAAAGTTGCGCAGTGCCGCATTGCAAAAAATGACCTGGTAATAAAGGGGAGTAAATGTTCCGGAGGGCAAGTGGTTTAAAAAACCTGAGCCCTAGTTACAGTATAGCAACACTGTGTATGCCTACGTAAAAAACGAATGTAAATGTATCACTCTGTATTAGGCCCCTTGCACACAGGCGTCATACTTTACTGATGTTTACTCAGGAACTTGTGACGCGCGTGTGCCAGAAGCCAAAAACTGTGTAAACACTTTAGTAATGTTAAATATAGGCAAGTAAAGGTGTGTAAGCATATAGACGAGTAAAATTATTCTTCATTGCCATTATTGTATTATACTTATTTAAACTTGCATAAACATTATAAATGAGTAAACACGCGAGTAAATTACCACACAAATTTCTATTTTTGTTTTCCTGTTCTGTACTCAACACTGTACTACTGATCTTTACTTATTTGTGTGCAATATCCCATAGACAACATGCATCTCATTTCAGATCAGTAAAAAAACTGAGCATTTTTTACTCCCGTATGCAACAGGCCTATACTTACAGCACCTTTTCTGTACAAACCACTGCTCCGAATTCTATGATGGTTAGTGTTATGACCCTCTGCCTAGACACTTGTACATCTGATTTCTTCTAAACCTCACAGTCAGAGTTCAGATAGTCTATTTATGGCTCCATGCCTTCTATTACCTTTCATTAATTTAATGGTGTGGCATGGACAGAGTAGCAAAGGGGTCTTATTTTGTTGAAGCTCTAACTTTAAATTGGAACTGCACAAACAATGCTACTCTCTCCTAAATAAAGTGTCTTCTCTACGGTGTTTTCCTATTGTGTACTATAGAAAAATTCACTTACCAATTGTTGGCTGGTTGTCTATAATCCTGATAGGAATTGGGTGTAGCTCCCCCAGCAGGATCTGGTGCACTTCTCCTGATATGCCAGAAGCATCCTCTACAGTCACTAGCTGTCCCATACTCACTATGTTGTGACCAGATGTAGGCAAAGTAGTGACAGAAGACACAGAGGAGTCACAAGGTTGACTGTGGTAAGTGACTTAGCACAAGTGGCTGACTGCTTGCTCCAGCATTCAAGAGAGCTGGCGGGCTTACTGTAATAAGGGAAGTAGTTCCATCAGCAGATGTGAATGTCTGGGGCTGGTGATTCAATGTAATAAGTGCTGTTGTCCCATCAGAAGATGTAAATGATGGAGCTTGGTGATTCACAGTGATCAGGGCTGTTGCTGCATCAGATGATGTGAATGATGGTGTTTCTGGGTTCACTGTAATTAGAGCTGTTGTTTCATCAGGAGAGGTGAAAGTGGAAGAAGACTGATTCACGGCAATGAGGGCAGTAGTTCCATCAGGGGATGTGAAAGAAGGCTGTAGCTGAAGTCCCTTGAGAAAACAACAATCCATGCACAGTCATTGAAATGTGTCAATTAAGTGTCATGTATACATTTTTAAAAAGGTTGCTACTTCCTGCCCTTTTCATTTTCATTTTAACTCATTTGTATAAATAAATGTCTTACTCCCTCATGACAGTATCAGATATCACAGTACTTGTGAACTAAATCCATGAAAGAAACGGCTAATCTTATTTTTAATGGCACAAAGCCTCTGAAAATGAATCCTCTATTTCAAACCTGTACAGGGGAATTAATGATTAACACCATCACAGATTAAAAACACATGATGCTAATTTGTTTAGGTCTAGGTTCACATCTATGCGTTTTCCGCAGTGTTTTGAGGAAACACACAGCAGTCCATTTAACATGATTTCCTATGGGACAGGTTCACATCTCTGCATTTTCACCCGGTGCATTTTTTGGAAAGGGTCATGGACTTTTTTAAATTCAAAACGTTGCGATTTTGGTTCTATAGACTTCAGTGAAGACGCTGAAGAAGCATGTAGTGTGTTTTTGATTCATTTTTAATCTGCCTAGCAAGAAACAAAATGCATCAGAAACACGGCAAAACCACACATGCAAAGAAGCAAAAATGCACCACAAAATGTACTGCAGAAACAGATCAAATGCAAACTGCATAGGTGTGACCCTAGCCTAAAGAAGGATCTTGAATCAGGCAACCTTTTCATTACGTGGATCGGAGGAGGAAAATTTCAGTTAAAGCAGAGACACATCCTATTGACTGTAAGTTGTGTCCCTTGTGTTGACTTTTGTTTTTTCGTTTGCGACTAAACCAAGGCATTAGCATGAAAATTGGCCATCTCATTGCTGTGTTGGATTCTGAATATATTGCTTTGAGTCTTCAATAACAGACGAGTTGTATCTGGAGCTACTATATGCATGTTGTTGTACTCCTTCAAAAAATGTACCAACCTGTAGCTGTGCAAATATTTTGGGTTGAAGAGATGTAAGTGAGGAGATCAGCTGAGCTGTATCTTGACAGATGTCTTCATTGGTTGGATTCTCCAGTTCTTGCTCTGTGAAATAGCAAACAGTTTTCAAAGGTATTTATATCAATGATGAGCTTACATTACTGATGTGTATAGGAAGGGGCTGTGGATAATTTATTTTTAAAGGGGCATTATTATAGAACAGATATACTAGTCTTTGCCAGATAAAGGACAGAGTTTCATTCTTTAAGATAGTTATGTCTCTTATGAGCTCCAGTGGTTATATTTCTGGGTCTGTAAATATGTTGCAGCAACTACAATGAAATTCCATATTTTCTGCTAAATTTGTAATGAATTTAAACTACCCAGAATGCAATAGGAGTGGGAAAAATACTATTATTTGTACTCACTTTAAGGACCCCTTGCCAACAGACTACTTTTTGCATCCCCAAAAAAGTCTATAGGAACACAAAACCCGCTTGAAGGTAGTCAAATGCAGTTCAAGAGGCCAACTGAAGGTAAAATGCACCTATCAATTCATTCTGAATGATGCAGCAAAAGCTCTAAAATCCTTTTCTCTGCATTCAGTGGAAAACAGAACTCTACCTGCCATCTGCAGGAGTAGGAAACTAGGTACAAAACAAAAAAAAAAAAAAAAACACAACAACAAACAAAACAGTACAGGAGCAGTCCCTGCTGGTTTCAAAACTGTGAACCAAATAACAAAGCAGTGCAAAATATTTAAACACACAGGTTGCAGCAAAACCAAAGGGGCAGGTGCTGTGTCCTCCGGTGAACACAGAGAAATAGATTTTACAGTGAGTACAAAAAAATCCTACTTTTTTTCTGTTCACTAAAGGACCAGGCTCTGCTGTAGATCATTGCTACAGAGATGTCCATGAGCAGTGTTCACCAATGGGACAGGGGGGAAATAAAAGGAAAACCAGGAAATAACCCAGGCCAGTCAGACTACCGCTTGCAGAACTTTATTGCCAAAGTTAGTATCAGCTGAAGCTGTCACATCCACCCTAAAATTTGGTGAACATATGATTTGATGACCAAGTGAAGTCTACAGGAGGAGGTCTCTGGAGAGCCAGAGAACTATATTTTAGATCCCACTGAGTCACGGGGGAAAGAAAGGAGGGGGGGGGGGGGGTGACATCGGAAATACCCTGTACAATGGCCTTAATAAGAGAGTGGAAAGCCAGCTGTCAGTGCAAGATTGCAGGGACAGAGATTTGACCCTTGAAGGTACTAAGGGCTAAATGCTGTTCTGGTTCATTAGTAAAAAAGCCAGGATTTCTTGAGGCGGATGTTGCTTGCCTTGCGCCAAGAGAAGTATGCCTTCCACGTTCAGTGATAAACCTTGTGGGAAGGATACCTATTAGTGTTAAGCATTATGAGGCTCACCGATTCAGAGATTCCACTGTTGCTCAGAAACTGGGCTTCAACATCCGTGCCATTAAAGCAAGCATCTGTGAAGCTAAGTGGAGATGGAAGATCTGAAAGATGTGTAGGAGCCCATGGGGCATCTGATCAGGTTAAAGAACCACATCTGATTTGGCCACTCGAGAGCTACCAGAATGCCCTTCCATTTCAATATCGCAGAGTTTCAGGGGAGGAAAGGCAAAGATCAGGCTGTACTGATCCCATTGAGTAATTAGAGCATCTGCCTGTACCTGGAGACAAACCTGCCCAGTTTGCTGTTGAACATGGAGGCTGGGATGATTCACATCATCACCATACACAGGTCCTGGGAAACATCTGGTTGTAGAGATTATTCCCCTGGGTCCATGTGCTGCCAGTTGAGGTAGTGTGCTTGCCAACTGGCCACAGGAAGTACACAGCAGACAAGGCTGGAACATAAGGTATTTCCAAGGACAGACTCCTTTACACATCCCCTTGCCACAGAAAGACTTCTGGTTTCTACCGGATGATTGATGTAGACCATTGCCTGCACTACAGAAGGTCGTCCAGATATCCCACAATAGAAATGCTTGGGAGTGCAGCACAGGAGTACATCTTAGTGAATTCTTGTGATGCAGAAAACAGTCTAAATTGCTGGGCCACAAACTGAAGTCATTGGGGGCCCAGAGCAATGCAAAGGAATCACTGATGCGTTGTAAATATGGAGATATGGGGGTATGCATCCCAAACCAACATCTACCAAAGGGTGTGAAAAACTAAAGCCACTGCCCTAAAGCAGAAACAATACAATGAGTCCAGGAAGACTCGAATAGGATACGGAACCTCCCCATATAAAAGGTCCCCTGATCAAGTAACATACAAGAGCCAATTACAAAAGAGTAAATGGCTGGAAAGCTTCCTCTGGAAAACTTGGACAGAGGCAGACTAATAAGCCTGCAAAGTCTAACTACATCTAGACAGCGGAAAGAATAGCTTACTAACGCACTGAGAGAGAAAAACAAACAATGTTCTAGTTGAAAAGTAAAATTAAAAAACAAAACCACCTTAAGAAGTAAGAACACTCTTGGCCGCAACCCCACCATTCCTGCGTAGGACAAGATCTCTCTGAAAAAAACATGTCTTGCAGAAGTGAAAGCGCCCTGAAAGCAACCTTGTGAGCATATTGAAAATATTCCTGACAGGTTAAAAAGTGGCCTGAATCACTGAAAAGAACTACACAAAGCCAACAAAGCAGCAGGAAGCTGTATAGGGGAAGCTACATAGTATACACCCTATAAAAATTTCAATCAGGGAAAGAGGCTAGTGGTCTTTGGAGCAAGATCACAAATGCAGCGAGAAATCAATTGATGGTACACAGATCCAAACATAGAAGCAGACCTGACTGCAAAACTAAAAAGGTCACGTTTTGTCCAATGGAGCATTTCCTGGGGTAGCAGCTACTATCCCCACACAATGCAAAAAATGTTGTCCATGTGTGAAGATAGACCTTATGAGAAGTAGACTACCTAACTGTTAACAGTGGAGAATCATCAATGCAAAGAGCCCTCCTATCTCCAAAGACCTGGGAAGCAATATCTTAGCCATTGAACCACAAATATGATGGTCTGAAAGATTCACAGAGCATCCGCAAGTAGTCTGAACATGGCAGAGTACCATATCTGCTTGGGCCAACCTAGAGCTATGAGCACCCCTCAAAATGCCCACTATCAAGAACCTGTGGAGCAGATAAGAAGGGAGTTGCAAATGAGGAAAGGCATAAATCAGGCTGTACGGATCCTTTGGAGCTACCGGAGTATCCACAGGTCACAGGTCCTAGAAGACCTGCAGGTTTAGGGCCCATCCCCTGAAAGACAAACTCTGACAGCAGAGCAGTCTTGCAAAATTGTCAAGCTCTGTGATTTAACCAGAGGATGAGGCTGGAATGCAAAGTCCTGCCCAAGACAAAATCTTTTCTACTGCTCTTGCCGCAGTAAGACAACTAGGTATTCCATGATGGTTGATGTATGCGACCATCATGGTGCTGTATGACAGAATCCAGATTAGATGATTCTCCAGCAGGAAGTCCAATGTTATAAGGACAAACAAATTGCTCAGAGTTGCAGAATGTTGAGTGGGAGTTGGGTTTCCTCACACCGAATGGAAATGCCAAAAATGGTAATGAAGCTCCTTCATTAAGAACTGAAAAAAACGCTGGCGGTTGTGGGAGAAGGGAACGTTGAAGTTTGTGTCCCTGATGTTGACTGAGGTTAGGACATCCCCCTGATGAACAGAAGCTACCATGACCTCACTAATTCTATACGAAACATATGCACCTTCACAAAAGCATTGAAGGCCTTCAGAACCAGAATGGGAAGAACTCCTTCCTTCTTTGGAACCGTGAACATATTGGAAAACAATCTTCTGAACGTTTTGGAAAATGGTACAAGTACTATATCACCCCCTGAGCAAGAAACTCCTGAACGTCTGAGTGCAGGTTTACCAGATGCTTCAGTGAAAGGCGTAGGTTAGAAAAGAAAAAACATTCTGGAGGGAAAAGCTGGAACTTGATTTTGCAGCTGGAGGATACCACCTCCAAGACCCATTTGTCTGAAATGAGAGGCAGCCATCAGCCTGCAAAGGACAGAAGACGTCTCCCCATATGGAGAAGTTGTTGTGGGAGTGAACCTTCATGCAAAGGCGGGCTTTTCCATGGGCTTGGGGTTCTTGTGCTACTGACAAGGATGCTTGAATCCTGTGGGCACAGAGGGCTTTGTGGACTTGTCCCCGAAAGAGGCATCCTGGCCACAAAAAATGCATCTATTTGCATAAAAGAAAGGCTGGCATTACGCCGTTGCTCCTTGTTTTTCCTGGACAGGGCAAAAAAGGTGTGATTTTGATAATCTTGTCCATGGACTCACCAAAAAGGTGACCACTTGCAATAGGCATCTTGGCAAGAGCCTGGTCCACAGACTGGCACTTAAGCTAGGGTAAGCACTTCAACATAACAGCCGAAACAGGCAGTTGCGAAAACAGCTGTCCAGAATGCAAAGTTGCATTGGCGAAGAATCAATTGATCAGCCAAGTCAATATAAGCTGGGAGCTAAATCTTGGAGCAATAGCTTAACCCATTCAGGTTGGGACAGATGCCAGAACTGGACAGATTAGAGCTCCCATAATGATATACATGGAGAGAGTGGTACTCTTCACCTTCCTTTTTGACGGGTCCCTGAAGAAGGGGGAATCTTTAACTGGACTGATAGCCTTATTTGGTCTAGAAATAGAAGATCAATCACCAGAGCGGTTGGATCATTCCTTGAAAATGCCTCCTTGAATGGGTAATGTACAGCAACGTATTTTGGCAAGGTGAATGGCCTAATTGGATGCATCCAATATTTGTAGATGAAACAAGAAGTCATAATGAAAAACATTAGAGGACTGCCTGTGCTTATGAGTCCTGAAAGGGACTGGAAAAATCTTCAGAAGCTGAAGGCTCCTGAATCTTAAAAGTCTCCTGGAGAGCCTTAATAGGAGCCAAGACCAGCCCTTTTTCATGTGCCAGTTTAACAGTTGGCAACTCCTTCTCACTGTCAGATTGGTTTGGAATGAGGTGGCTTCTGCCTTAATGAGGGGTCCTGACCTATGGGGGTCAGGAGCAGACAACCTCAAACGCAGACACAGATTTTTTTTTTTAGGGGGCTTCTGCGATAGAACCCTCTCCATGTGAGAAATAAAGCCTTCCATGGTTGTAGAAAAGGTATCAAAAGTTAAGGGGGGCCCTGTGAACCCCAAAGCCATTTGGCCTGTGTCTGCGGTTGGCCAGTCATATGGAAGTTTGGCAGGCAATGCAAAGAAGATTCGCAAAAGCAGAGGTTTGATGAAGAAAAATTCCCCAATGCTGGTGACTACCTGCACTTGCTCAGGGGCCTCAGGAAGGGCAGCCACAGGGCAAGGGAAAACCCCCAGGTGATCCAATGCAATGCACCCTGGAGAGATCACTCACAGACTAAGGCATGTCATCTTGAAACCTGCAGTCTCACAGCAGTATTAGACATCCCAAGGCAAGGTGTCTCCAGGGGATACAAACGCTTCTCTGATGGTGATCCAAATGTCGCTGGTCCAGGAATAGCAGCTCAACAGAATGGAACCGACCAACCCATTGTATGCATCCAATAACGGGTCAAAACTCCCTGGGCCACTCCGCTATCAGCACAGTAGTTGCAGCCAATCAAGATGAGGCAGAGAACTGCATGGGCTCGAAGGCAGTGTTGAGACTACCCTGATCTATATTGTATATTTGGTCTAGCACCCAGCGCTGCAGTAAAAGAAAAAAAATCATCAACAGGAACAAAAAAACTTGGAAATAAGAAGCAGAAAAGTTTCTAGGTTCCAACTCCTAAGTGCAAGGTAAAAATTAAGCCTTATGTTGCTGATGGGGGGCTTAGCACCAGCATGGGCTGTCACTAGGGGCTGTTCTTTTTTAGTTGTACCTAGCATCCCACTCCTGCAGGTCGCGTGATAACTCGTGGAAAAGAAGCAAGGTTTGGGGAACAATCTTAAGTTAATATCTATTGCAGGGGTCTCCAACTTTTCTAATTAAAAGGCCAGTTTTCTGTTCTTCAGGCTTTAGGGGGTCCAGACTGTGGCTGGTGGATGTAGAAAATGCTCTGCCATCAATGGGAGTAAGCAATATTGTTTTTATTAAGAGGAATAGTACCCCACTGTTGGTAACAGTTGGCAGAATAGTGCCCCATTGTTGGTGTCATTAAGAAGAATGGTGCCCCATCATTGCCATCAGTTGGAGGAATGGTGCCCCAAGGGCCGGATAAAAACAAGCAAAGGGCTGCATCTGGCCACCGGGCCACAGTTTGGAGACCACTGATCTACTGAATCCTTAAGCAGTCGTACATCCAGAATAGAAGTTGTCAGCTCTACGAAGGTGGGATAGCCAGATAAACAGTAGGATTTACTTTAAACCAATTCTACCTACCTGAAATATAAACTCTAAATGGACTGACCCATATTTTTTTTAAAAATCCAAACTCTTTTTATTAAGAACAAGATCACAAGTTACAATGCATGGCATATATGAAAATAGGTAAACGAAATTAAACTTTTATCTTGCAATACAAGGTCATAACAATGTGAAAAAGTAAGATCAATACATACGTGATCCTGAGTATTGCTTAGTGAATAGAGTTAAATTTAACCAATAAACAAACAGGTGGAATTATCTACGAACTGAAAAGGTCAGTGTGAGAATACAATGTGAATCTTACAGACTGCATATCATAGAATGCTATAAAAAAGTATAGCTCTATAATGACAAGTTATGGTGACAACTGCAGGAGCCTTTGCATAACTAGTTGAGATGGGACCAGCCCCGCTACATCTAGCCAACCCTGCCAGATTGAAGACTGTCCCTTATTACTTCAGTTATATTGGATACTATGTCTGGATACTTTGCACTCAAGTATACCATTGTCATTTGTAAAAATAGAGAGGTTTTTCAAGTGGAAATAAACCCCTTTATTGAAAACACTCACGTGTCTCACATGCACAAAGTTATATTATCCTTTTTATTACACTTTTATTTAAATTTTTTATATAGCAGGTAGCATAAGGCTTAACGTAAATGGCTCTCCGATTTTCTTTTTTAATTGGAATGTAAAGCACCCTGATGACTGAAGCAACCAGCAACATAACCTGCACTGCAGATGAGAGTGGCTTTGGATGAACTGCTACATTATTCAGGGATAGGAAAACTTGCTTGTTGCCTGTCAGGCAACAGAGATTTAGACTGTCTGTCTGACAAAGTACCAAGCAAAACACATACTCAGAAGTCCATTAAAATCCACACTCACAAAAAAAATCCAACCGTACAAGAATTATTAATTTGACTTTTCTAGCTCACGTTGTAGCTATTCCCAATAGTTATTATTATGAAACAACAATTTATACTGTGCACTTCTGCTAGAATGTTGCACCTGTTAGTACACTTGTCTTGCATAATATAAAGTATGCATGTGTGTGCCAAAAGTAGACTCTAAGTCAGTGTTTCTCAACCTTTTTTCAGTCAAGGCACCCTTTAAAATTATGGACAATTTCAAGGCACCCTCTAAAATTATGGACAGTCTTGAGACACTCCATTTTAAAATGTAAAAAACTATTCTAATAGTTTTACATAATGCGTCAACATCAACACACGTAGGACATCCAGCATTAGAGGCGATTTATTCTTCCAAATCAATTTCACTTTTGCACACTGGTACTGACCAGTATTCCAATGTTTCTCTTCTCCCTCAGTTTTTCTCCATCACTCAGCTAATGTGACCCCAGCGGTGATGGAGAGGGGGAGGGGAGGGTCAAACAAGGATCAAGGATGCTGTGCAGATGACCAACATCCTCCTTATCAACTGATGATGTAATTGGTTGTTGGGATGCCGGCAGCTAGAAGGTCCTAATGGTGTACAATAACAGCCCGTGGCTTTGTGTGGCTAAAAGGCAGGCTTGATCCACCTCTGACTTGTACACAATTTTTGGGCAATTTTTAGGCATTTTGCCAAGGCACCCCTTAAGAGACCTCAAGGTACCCCAGGGGCACCCTGGTTGAAAAAGGCTGCTCTAAGCTATACTGGGGGAAAGAAACTGATGTGAATGTGATGTTTTGTCAGTGCTATGTAAAAAAGTAAAAATAAGAAAATAAACACCTACCTTCTTGAGAAGCCGCTTCAAATGTAACTGTAACCATTTCATTGAGAACGCTGCCATTATCAGAGTTCCACTGCAGCTGAAAAAATATACATAATAATAATTCAATAATGTTTCAACACTGGAAAACCATCGCAACTTACATTTCAATAAAGTTCTGTTAACCGCAGTGGCATTGCTATATAATGGTTAGAAATGGCAAGCTTTGGTATGAACTGTGGTGTGAACTGACTGAAATAGCTGCCAGCACGGTCCCACTGTGTTTTCCTATTTCACATGCTCCATATATTCTAAAATATACAAAAACTATAAGGCCTCATGTACACAGGATGTTTTGCAAGAACAAAGCTTTTCCTCCTAGAAGCCTTTCCTCCAAGCAGCAGTGTTTTAGCAGAAAAAAACTCCTGATGCTTGTAAAAGTGTGTAATGCTTCTAATCGCGTTTACAGGTGTCGAGCGCTTGGGTGTTAATTCACTTTATTAGCCATAATTATAATTTATTCTGGCCATTGAAATGAATTAACGCTCAAGCGCTAAACAAGCATTTACATGTGTTTACAAGCTCCAAGTGTTTTTCCTGCCAAAACTCTAATGCTCCTTGATGCACTGACAGTGTTTTTGTTTCTGCCTCTAAACTCTTCTGCTACCAGATTCTGCTAAAAATCTATGTGTGCGTGGACACAAAGGCAAACATGCAGGAGAGTTTAGAGGCAGGAAAAAAAAAGCCTGACGCCCCTAGAAACAGCTGGAAAAAACGTTCAATGTGCATGAGGCCTAAAGCTTTGCATAGGGAAAGGCTAAAACTCGATTAATTTTAAATTTTTGCCATCTGTGTCCCATTGAGTAGATTTTGCTGCATTTCCTGTCATGTAATCACAACAAAAGTGAGGAAAATCCTCATTCAGAGGACTGCTGTGGGAACAAATTGGAAAATGTTGAATGTTGCTTCACTTTCAGACCCAATGACAACAGTCACTGGTACAAACAGAAAGGATGTATTTCACCAAAGGGGACACAGACAGCAATAAGTAACTAACAGGAGTTCTAACCATTTCCTGTTATCAAACATAAAAAGTTTTGGCTTTAGATACACTTTAACCACTTGCCCTGCAGCAGATATACCCCCCTTCATGACGGGGCCAATATTTGCTGTTCAGCACTGCGCTATTTCAACTGGTAATTGTGCGGTCGTGCAATGCTGTACCCAAACAAAATTTATGTCCTTTTTTCACACAAATAGAGTTTTCTTTTGGTGGTATTTGATCACCTCTGTGGTTTTTACTTTTGCACTAAAACAAAAAAAGACCTAAAATTTATAAAAGAAAAACAATATTTTTCATTTTTGATAATAAAAAATATCCAATAAACTTAAAGTTAGGTATAAATTTAGGCCAAAATGTATTCTGCTACATGTCTTTGGTAAAAAGAATCTCAATACATGTATATTAATTGGTTTGTGTAAAAGTTATAGCGTCTACAAAACTATGGTATATATATGTGGAATTTATGCAGCTTTTACTTTCTGACTGCCTATCACATTTCTTCAGGTGCTAAAATGCCAGGGCAGTATACCCCCCCCCCCCCCCCCCCCCCCGCCAAATGACCCCATTCTGGAAAATAGACACCCCAAGGATTTTGCAGAGAGACATGTTGAGCCCTTTTTTTGCCACACATTTTTTGAAAATGACAATTATTTTTTTCCCACAAAGTTGTCACTTTAATGATATATTGCTCATGCATGCCATGGGTATATGTGGAATAACACCCCAAAACACATTCTTCTATTTCTCCTGAGTATGAGGATAGCACATGTGAGAGACTTTTTGGCAGCCTAGCTACATACAAGCCCCTAAAATCCAATGACTAGCTCCAGGCTTTCAAAGGGCATATTTCCTCATATCACGTCCCCACTACCTATCACAGTTCTGAAGGCTCTAAAATGCCAGGATAGTACAAACACCCCCCCCCCAATGACCCCTTTTTGGAAAGTAGACACCCCAAGGAATTTGATAAGAGGCATTGTGAGTATTTTACAGATATCATTTTTGTCACAGGGTTTTGAAAAAGAAAAAAAGAAAAGAAAAAGACATTTGTTTTCTTTCTTCATTTTCCCAAAAACATGTGACAACAAATGAGATCTGTAAAACACTCACCGTGCCTCTTAGCAATTACCGTGGAGTGTCTACTTTCCAAAAAGGGGCCATTTGGAGGGGTTGCTTCTACTATCCTGGCATTTCAGGGCCACCATTAGAAGCTTATGCCACACATCACCTACTCTTAAAGACCAAGCTTTTTCTGACACTTTTTGTACACATGAAAAAAAAATTTTTTTGCTAGAAAATTACTTGGAACCCCCAAACATTATATAATTTTTTAAAGCAGAGGCCCTAGAGAATAAAACGGTGGGTGTTGAATTTTTTTTTACATCACACAGTATTTGCGCAGCGATTTTTAAAACATAAATCTTTTGGGAAAAATACACTTTTTAGAATTTTAACGCACAAAACCACAATATATTGCCCAATTGTTTAATAAAATATTAAAGATGATGTAACGCAGTGTAAATAGATACCAAACACGGCAAGCTTTAAAATTGTGCATGCCCGTGCAATGGCAACAAAGTACATACATTTTTATTATCGATAGGCGACGCTTTAAAAGACTTTTCAGGTCACCAATTTATATTTACACATATATTTGCGCGCGTGTAGTGAGGCAAGGGTGCTTTTTTTCCCGTTATTTTGATTTTTTAAAATCATTTTTACACGGTCTCTTTCTTCTTTTTTTTTAATCACTTTTATTGCTATCACAAGGATGTAAATATCCCCTCTGACTGCAATAGGTATTGACAGGTATTCTTTTTTGAGAAATCTGGGGTCTATTAGATATCTCCTCTGCCCTTACATCATCTGATCTCACCAAGATCGGTGTAATCAGATGCTTTCCCAATTTGCAAATGGCGCTTCTTATATCCTGCAAAACTGAAGTGATGAAATGCTTGTAGCTTCCGATTCCTTGGACTATAGAGATGAATGGAGTCATTCTGGTCTGTGATCAGCTCTATAGTCAGCCAGAGCATCTGCCGGCTGCATTCTCTGATTCCTCTGTGGGGACAGGAGAAACCCAAGAAAACTGTGGAAGGCAGCAGGAGGGGGGAAATGTGCCTTCCCGCTGCTTGTAAAAAAAATTCAGCAGCTAATTGGCCACCAGGATTGCTTTTAAATGAAAGCCGACCGCCAGCTGAAAAAAACGATACCAGGATGATGCCTGTAGCTGCAGGCATCATCCCGGTATAACCACTCAAAGTCATACAGGTCTATGGACAAATATGACCGCAATTCATTCTTTTTTGTAAACCATGTTGAGGGTTAGGCCCAAAAAAGTTTTAAATTCAGAAACTGTGATAGTTTTCCATGTGAAAAGAGCTGAATTTGAGTGGGCGGCGTTGTATTGTTGTGCGTATAAATTGCTTTGGCCCACAATCAATTGGTACAAATCTTCAGTGAAAAACAGTGAAGGGGCCAAGCGCTAGAGCTGGCAGCGAATGGGGCCGATTCTGCTAACACTGCGTTTTTGGGGACACTATACAAATGAGGCACTAGTATAGTTCTGTTCATGATCATTATATTGACAAACACTATACTAGTAATGGCGGTGATCAGCGACCTATAGCGTGAGTGCGATAGTGTACAAACAATCTAACACTAGCTGACCCTGACTGGGTGGGGCGCTTACTGACCCTGACGCTATTTGATGTTGCTATTGGCAGGAATGCAGTGATCAGTGAAAAATGTTATATACTGACACTGTACGAATGGCAATGGCTGGGTGATGTATGTGTGTGTGTAAAATGTAGTGCTTTTACTCGGTGATGTGTTCTCTCTTCTCTCCCTGGACCGACTGGGGGGGGGTCTCAGGCATGTTCACACCCTAAAACAGGAAGCAATGCAAGATTATGTCGCTTTGCCAAGAGCGGGTAAGCGGTTGGCAATTAGTTAAAAACAAACCCTTAAAAATTTCTCAATATGGTATTTTTTATTTAATTTTTTTTAACAATTTTTTTTTTTTTATATATTTTTATCAGATTAGTACAACATTACCATAGTAAGATTGTACTACTGTGGGGGGTATCAGGGATTTTTTTTTTCTAATTTACACTTTGCTTTGCAGGAGAAATAAAGATCCTTTCTCCTGCAATGCAAAGCTTACTGTCGTGAACCTAACTCATTAACGAACTGTCATCAATGAGTTTTTGACAGCTCAAGATAGTGATTGGCTGTAGCTAATCACATGATACAGGGTGCTGTGATTGGCCCCATATATCATGTGACAGCTGTGGGCCAATCACAACTCATTAGGAAGAGAAGCAGAGCTGTTATGAATGAGATTTATTTATAATGGCTTTGCTTACATTGTGATCATGTGATCGCATTGTGATCATGTGATCGCATAGAGATCACATGATCACCAGGTCCCGTTCACCGGGATCTTCATTCCACTGTGTCCGCCGGACACAGCAGTCACGGTGGACGAGCGCTGCTCGCCCCCTTGTGTTGGAACAGCCAGAGCGACGTACGGGTACGTTGCTTTTCCTGTAGATGCCATCTGGCCACAGTACATTGTGGGCGGGCAGTAGGGAAGTGGTTGAGACCTGTATTTCAGGTTACTTTTCACTACCAATGTACTATTCTGCTGAAATATCCACATTTTTACACCTACTTTGGTCTCTCCTCTCAACATACGCCTAAATTATCCCAATCATGAACTGTAGCATAGCACTAGGTGTCAAATAGATGGAAAACCTCTGCTGAATTCTGTTGTACAACAGCTCTATATACATATCAGTATCCTTGCATGTCTGATCTATTTACCACCAGCCAGTAGATTAGTAACAGCACACCACTTATGAAGAAAAACTTCCCTAGAAACCTCTTACGTAAATGCACTGAGCAGTCACCTCTCTCACTGATCCTGAGACAGTCTCCTGATCATAGATGAGGTCTCCATTCCCCAGGGCTTTCTGTGCCTCATGGATGTGGTTCTTTAGATCATTCACAGTTGGGAAGTAAGACAGGTTATGCCGTTCAGGAATTTCATCAGGTTTAAAAAGCTCTCGCTCCACATATTTTCTAATCAGTGAAAAAAAATGGAAATATTTGAGTAAGAAGACATTACATGCAAAATTATAGGTGCCAATGTATCCACAATTACAGAAAAAAAAACCTAATGTGGACCTGAACTCACAAAGTGAAGACTTGCTACAGGGAACATTTAGAACTGTTTATTGTCCCTCAGCAGTACCCTGGAAAACATACTTTGGTTTGAATGCCCTTGAAAAAATAGCATTGCACATCCTAAGTGAGGATGCCTTCGTACTTCTGTGCCTATTGTCAGGAATGGACTTGCCAGTGTTGGTGGGACTCACCTGCCTTGTGGGCTGCAGTACCAGGGCTGGCCAGCGGGTGCTCTCAGCAACCAGAGGCTCACTCCTGCAATGAGCCATCACCTGAGGCTGATTACAGCAGGTGTATTTAAGGAATGGCCAGGCCTGTGATCAGGGCCTTGGTGTATGTTTCCCATGTGCCCCTGTACCTGCATCCTGTCTGCTTCCTGCCTGATCCTGCTTTAATCCTGACTCTGCATGAACTCTGCCTGTCCTGACTACGCTTCCGCCTGCTCCTTGTACCTTGCCTGCCCGTTTGCTACCGACCCGGCCTGCCCGACTACGTTTAGTATTGTTCTTATTGTTATCTGTTGGAGATTTGGCTGCACTGTGTTTATGTTTAGTCTTGCACTGCGTTTATGTATTGTTTAGTCTTTAATAAATTGTATTGTTTATACTATACCTGGAGCCTGTGTTTCCCTGTGTCAGTCCACACATTTCTGGTCATACCCGGATACCTAACACCTATAGTCTTTTAGCTGTGCATCTGCAGAGTGAGATCCACTGCTGCCTCTGACTGCTAGTCTCATATTTGTAGATTTGGTAGTATCATTACTGTGATGTTCACTGTTCTCCTTACAGGATGCTCTAACATGAGAAAGTAAAGTCTGCCTTCACCAAGATGGCTGCCGCCACACAGAGACCAGTACAGAGCAAGCCAAGGTTAGTCAGTAATATGGAAAAATCATTAAGTGTTTTAAGCAATTTTTAAGCAAAAACTGATTTAAATATTTATAACAAACAGGAATCCTAAATGTCCTTACACACAGGGTGATAATTTGGGTTACTTCCCAACAAGCGATCTCTTTTTACCTTAACTGTTTCCTCACAGCATAAACCTCCTCAATTCCTTTGGACACAAGCTCCCGTATTTTTTCTGCCACGCAAGGGTGCAGTCGAGAAGGTTGAAGACTATTTTCATCACACACCACTTCCTCTTCTTCCTCATTAGATGGTTGGAATGGGGTAGGTGATGGTGAGAAACAGCCTGCATCTAGACTGTGATACTGATGTGCTTCCTGGTCAGGTAACTGAACATACCACCTGTAATAATTCAACAAAGGAGAGAATTCATTGTGTATACGTATCATGAGTAAGGGCTATATGTAGAACACACAAGTGTGTAAAAGCACCTTACACAGTCTTAAAACTGCCTTGTGTAAACTAAGATTTTGTAAGCAGAAAGTAAGGAAACGATTTACATTAATTTACAGTGAGCATAAATGTAAGAGGGAAAAAAAGCGGTCAGGATAAATTTTGTTACATAGGAAATCAATTTGCTAAAAGAACTAAAGTAGAGATCTGGGATGGGAGGCATACATCAGTTTGTGTTTGGGAAAGTCTATGTTTAAAGACCAACTCCAGCAACAACATTATTTTTAGTTTTGGATAAAGCTGTGCAGGATATTTTCTGATGTTTTCCCTTGCTTCCTGTTCTGATAACCTCTGTCTTTGGAAATCTTCCCATTGCAGATACAGATACCAGTAAACACATGAACTTCTAACCTTTCTAACTATCCAAGGCTAAAAAAACAGGTTTGGCTGGAGTTAGGCTTTAACATCATTTCAAATGAAATCAGAAGTTAAGATATTTAGAAGTATTCTGTCATTCCCTGTAAATACATGCAACAATACATACATTAAAGTAATAAGGATTCACAATGAAAGATATTGTATGTTATATTGATGGTGTTTTTATGATATGATATACATGATGGAACCCAATTATTCCTACTAGACCCCAGGTATTCTCAGCTGCAATACATAGAGATAGTAAAGTTAACCACTTCAAGTTCGAACACTTTCACCCCCTTCCTACCCAGGTCAATTTTCAGCCTTCAGTGCTATCACACTTTGAATGACAATTACGTGGTCACTGTACATATGAATTCTTTTAGCATTTTTTAAGACACATAAAACTTTATTTAGGTGGTATTTATTCACAACTGAGATTTTCATTTTTTTGCTATGTAAATGAAAAAGTCCAAACATTTTGAAAAAAAAGTGTTTTTTTTTTATAAAATTTTGCAAATAAATAATCTTTCTTCATAAATCTTGGCCAAAATGGATTCAGCTATCTTTTAGTAAAAAAAATAACCCAAATTAGTTTAAAACCAAAAATGATAGTTTTTCAAAAAAAATGTTTACATTTTATTTTATTTTTTTTTATATTATTTTTCTGGATTTTTTTTTAACATACTGTCACCCATAAAGGCTGTAAAAGTAATAATTTCTATTTCTCTCTGCCTGCATTCTTGCAACCATTGAGAAATACTACGTGAGCTGTGATTGGTCACAGCTTGTCACATGGTACAAAGCTGTTGTGAATAGCCTTGATCATTCACAGATTTCACAAGTAGTAATCAATGATGTCAGGAAGTAACATCTTGTTTACTGCTGCTGATGTGATCACTGATTGGCCAATCAGTGATCATATGAATCGGGGCTTCACACAAAGGTCCAGTACAGTGATCAGTGTTCTGCTGTGTTCAGAGGACACAGTGGACACCGGATCGTGGTGCCGCGCAATCCCAGGGAGCGCACATAGGCAGTGAATGTGGGTGACATTTAGAAACGTCAACCCGCTTCAGCAGTGCTCCCATCTGGCCGTTTATAGACATGGGCAGGACGGGAAGTGGTTAAAGTTGAACTCTAGGCAGATAAAATGTGGTATGTGTATATTAAAAAAAAAATGTTATTACGTATATTTTGTGCTGAGTGAATTTGTATGGGAGTGGTATTATAATTAACAATCAGCTGCTGCAAGGCTCTAATGAGGAAAGTAGCAGGGTCTGCAGCCCTTCAGACATGATTTTCCATAGGGAGTATTTCACCAAAAATTAGATTTTTGTTGTAGGAGATGCCAAAAATCTGACTTGCATCTTAGTGCAGACATCTGGGAAAATCAAGCAGGAAAGGACATTTTCAGGTGGCATTCTGTACACCATCTGTGTGCAGAACACCTCCAGGTAGCCATATTGTATTTTACAGAAAATGACAGCACTGCAGATTGAAAAGGAAAGGTAATTTGTAATAGCATTAAATTACAATATGACTTGAGCCGCAATTGTATACGCTATATTATTTTTTTATTTGCACATTTTTTTCCCCCTAAAAGGGAAGTTACCCTCTAAATATCTGAATTTGACTTGATATTGGCCTCTTGCAATTCCTTGTACAGCAGAGGTCAGATTTGGGAGGGAGAAGCAGCACAGGAGCCGATCAGGTGTTCTGCAGTGCCTATGTGCTAACAAGAAGCTTGCTGATAGGAGTGAGAGGGTGATGAGCTAATCAGTCTGTTGTTGCTCCTTCCCTGTCCAATTACAGGCTAGGGCAGGCAAAAAAACCTGGCTGTATATCGTAACCGCAGCAGAATAAAATCAGGTATCCAGGCTGGTTGTGTTGTCTGGCAGGGCTGTGAAAATCTCAGGAACAAATTGACAGAAATACATTTTGGCATGTAAAACAACACTCATATATAGTATGTATTTAATCTGGGAATTTACCCATTTGCATGGAGTCCAGCTTTAAAGGCAATGTCATCTTTTACCTATGCTCCCTTTTCACAAGGCAGACACTAAAATGACAGTTTGCTATACAAAAGAGGATTAGATAGTTCTGCTTCTAAAAGTTGTAGGAGTCATCATTATGTGATCAAAGAACAAAGAGAGGGCGCACAGGCCTAGTGCATTACCATGAAAAATGTTTAATAAAAAATAAAATAGGTGTTGTACTCACAAACAACAATAAAGTCAAGGCACATCATATAAGAACAGCTGGGTCAACACGGCGCTGAGTAACAGTCCGCAATGGGGACTCTGAGGAAGAGGCAAGTCCTCGAAACGTGTCAGCCTATTGGATGTCTACACTCCCCATTGCGGACTGTTACTCAGCGCGGTGTTGACCCAGTTGTTCTTTTATGACGTGCCTTGACTATATTGTCGTTTGTGAGTACAACACCTACTTTATTTCTTATTAAACATTTTTATGGTAATGCACTAGGCCTGTGCGCCCTCTCTTTGTTCTTTCCTCATTCAGTATATTTGGATTCCCCCGGTCCATTTGAGGGCAGCAAGGTGTGCATGTTCCAGGACATTCTTAATGTGGTTGTAGCCTGCATCGAGTCCATCCCCAAGTGCAGGAGCATTGTGTTTGCTGGTTCATCATTATGTGATCAGCTGGTGTCTAAAGTGCTGTAAAGGCTAAAGATTTTTTACCTTAATGTATTCTCTGTATTAAGGTAAAAAACCTTCCTTAGTGCAGCTCGCCCCCAGCCCCCAAATACTTACCTGAGCCCAATCTTGATCTAATGCTATGCCCGGGAGCAGAGGTGCTAATCTCTCTCTCCCTTCTCACTAGACTTAGCTTGGGATCAAACTTGCATGATTACCCTTCCCTCTACTCTAGCAGGCAGCTTGCTGGGGGGTACTTGGAAGGCAGGAGGAGCCAGAAGCGCCAGTGGAGAACCCCAGACCCCATAAGTGGAAGATCAGGGCTGTTCTGTGCAAAACCATTGCACAGAGCAGGTAAGTATAACATGTTTGTTATTTAAAAAAAAAAAGATCCTTTACAATCACTTTTAATTTACATGGTCACATCACTTTTTTACTGCTGCAGTGCTAATTCCCCTCTAGGGTTAAATGGACCCTATCTACATCTCCAGTTCAGATATTGGTTAAGGGAGCTTAGTTAGGAGTTGCAGTCAGAGTTCATTGAACATATGTTGTTTAAAACCAAAATGTAAGGAGGGTCTCTACAACACTAACATGCAAGTTAATAGCAAAAAGAGTTAAGCACAATGAAAAATGCGCACAAATGCTAACAAATGTTTAAAGAACCAGTGAAAAACTCCACAGGTTTTGGAAACTAAAGTTCAAGACTTTATCCACCAGTTTTCATGTTAATTCAACTTTATTCTGTTCGAATTAAAGTATCTAGATACCTGTACAAAAACCTACATACAATATTTTGCTACAGTTGGCAAACACTATATGCAAACAGCCTACAACAAAAATTACAAATATGTTTTCTTACCTTAAAATGCCCTCTGTGCTATCTAAATCCTTTTTTAGTAAGTTAAAAGCTTTTTCTTGCTCCATCTTAATCAGTTTTTTATCAATCTTTGGATCGGTAGGGACTCTGTATTTTGGAAATTTCTTCTTCACCTTTTTTTATGTATATCCTTAAGGAATAAAAAGAAACAGTGGTTTTGATGTGCTAAAAAAATCTTATGGCGTCATACTTCCATCAGTATATCAGTTTTAGTTGTTAGCTTACAGTGATCTGGTCTCATATATTAAGTGTTCTTGCATGGCAAGACCACTTGCTGTTATCTCACATATATATTCTTATTATTATAGCCAAATTTACCACCCTATGGTTCACGAAATATCTGCGTTTTTGTGGTGAAATTGGTCCCATAGGAATGAATGGCGGAATGTTCAAAACTAGAGTGGGAGCTGACAAAAGCTAGAGTGTGAGCTAAAAAATCAGGACATGATCTCTAAACTGCCATCACTCCCTCATTTTCAAGCCCACCTACACAAATCTTATATAAAAACGTTCAGCTATCCCTGCTGCCACTAAAAATGTCCACGGCTAAGCCATAGTCCTGATAGTTTTCACAATATGACCATTTTTTTGCAACTCACGTTGCCCATTGACATTCATTGAAACTCCACTCTAGCCACCTCAAATTTAAAGGGCAATTTCTGAACTGCAACTGTGCCTTCATTTTTAATATTTCAGAGACATACTATACATCAAAATGTAGATCTGGGTCTTGTGATTCTCACAATATCAGGCTCTTTGGTGTAGGATTTATAATTTTTAAATTACAAACGTTTGATAATGGCAACCGCTAGTGAAGTGAGCAGGTTGGAGCAGTTTGTTTTTAATCACTCTTCTCTGCCCTTGCTGTAGAGTGAGTTGCCAAAGGAACCCAGGTGTGTGAGCAGGCAGCAGAGTGACAAGCCACTCCACCCAGTTACTCCGCCCACTCCAGTTGTAGACCACGGTTGGAGGCAAGAACACTTCACATAATTTCCCCAGAAATTGTAGCTTTTCTAGTTTGTTAAAGCAGTAGTGAACACTGCTTGCTCACTACCAACAGGAAAGCTTATAATAAATCTTAACTGAAGGAATATCTCCTAAACGTGCACGGTTTAGGAAATATTCACTAATTCTGTAGATGGTGACATCACCAACACATGAAAACTGAGCTCTGAAGGGATGGCATGCACCGTTTAGGAGATATTCACTATCTCTGCAGCTGGTGACGTCACCGGCGCATGCACACTGTACTCTGGAAGGATGGAATGCAATCCCTTTAGAGTACTGTGCTGCAGCTCCCATACACATGTGCAGGAATGACGTAATAGCAGTTTGGCCATTCAAACGACCGTAGGCCATGAACCCAGAAGGAAGACCGGGTGGAAATGGAAGCCCTTTTAGTGGTAACAGCGCACTGCTGGAGGGCTTCGCTTTAAGGTAAGTCTTTCATCATAATGTGCTCTTATGTGTTACATACTAACTCACTATGACATTAGCTTGCAGGGGACCTGCCCCTGCTCATGAGAACTGGAAAGCCAACCAGCAATCCATCAAAATAACAGATGGGAAAAAAAAAAAAAAAAAAAAACGCACTACTAAAAATACAATACAATAATAGAAAAAAAAAATAGACCAAAAACATGTAAGGTCGAGAAAAGATAAAAATTCAAGGGGGCACAGACCAAGGAAAAAACAAAATCTCTCAGTGGGAATTTTGGACAACATAAAAAGTCCAAAAGAAAAGTTTTAATACAGAACTACAGGAAAAACATTTTTCATTAAAGATAAAGTAAGAGAGAGGTTTTTTTGCCAACTGTGTCCCATTTAAGATATTTCCCTTACTTCCTGTCCCAAAGCCACACCAGAAAGTAAGCAGAACTCCATACAAAGTGAGGAAATCCCTGGTTTTCAACAAGGTCAGCAGATATAGTGTCCCCACTGGAAGATTTCCCCTCCATTACTGTTCTGGGGTCAAGCCAAAAATGTGGGATTTTCTTTCACTCTTGGTGAATGATAAACATAAATAATAGAATTAATTTTCCCAATAGGGGTGCAGATAGCAATAAAAACCTGACAGGTTTTCTAATCTCCCTCCACTCTATCCAATAATAAAGCAAAAAAAGTGTCTTTAGTTATATTTTAATCTCCCACCCATCTAAAGCTAACAAGACCCACCTGTATGCTGTATACACAACTTTCTGTCATTTAATAATTGCTTGTAAAGTGTACCTTGCACCAGACTGACCTTTGAAGGATATTTGTTGTCTTTTGCCTCTATGTGCCTCCTTCAGGGCTTGTTCACACTTGACTTTATTTCTAACTCTTGCCAAACGACTATAGCGTTTGACAGGCGTTTGGGAAGCGTTTTTAACACTCCTCAAATGCTCCCCAAATGCCCTATGCGCGGTTTTGAGGCATTTGATAGGCGTTTGCCAAGTGTTAAAACTGCAGCACAAATGCCTATAATGAAGTTAAATGGTATTAACACTCTGCAACTGCCTCACAACCGTGTCGCAACCGCACCGCAAACGCCTGCCCGGCGTTTGAGGAGCAGCACCATAGACTTGAATGGGAGGCTTCAACTCCTCATAACTAAACATGAGGCGCCAGCTTTGCCGCGACGCAATTCTTACGCTTCAGTGTGAACAGCACTGTGTGCTGCCATGTGCAGAATTTTCATAGGCGATTGAGAAGCGTTAAAAACGCTTCCCAAATGCCTGTCTGATGCCTGCTGACAAAGCTAGTGTGAATGTAGCATAAGACTCGTTTTTCTAGTGTGCATATATAAGTTGAAATTCTTCATAAACTTTATTATTAAAAAACAAAACAAAAGCCATGCAAAATAAGAGAGAAGGACCAAGCTTTATACTTTTAAATGCTCAAAGCAGGAAAGGGTTGCCTGGCCGAATAAGCAATCTTGCAGCAAGATAGTACGAGAGCCTTCAAAACAGAACATCCCAATGGAGGAACAGAAGAAACTTCCCCCTCCCACCCCCAAGACCAGAGAAATTCTCATGGAAGCCAGCCCTGAAAACACCATAAAGGAGAAAGTAGAATGCGCAAGCAAACCCCCTAAAAGAGAGAAGATAAGCAGGACTTAGGGTACCTGTGACAGACCCAGGTCTTTTGGGGGGGGGGGGACTGCAAGCTAGCCTCTTGCCTACTTACTGTGGGCCCTGGCATCTGAGGGGGCTCTATTCTTTGGGAGGTGTGTGCCTGGGGGACCTCTTGGAGTAGTTTTATCTAAGATTCAAGTCCATGTCTCCCCGATACACACAGACTCTGAGAACTGAAGGACCTGGATACAGATTTGGGGTCCTTGTGCCCAAACTAGTTTGACTGCTTCAACCCTCCCCAGATTTAGAGACTTTAAGCAGATAATAATATAATCAGCTCAAAACAATCTGATGCTGAGGACTCTTGCTGTAATCTGTTTATTAGTTTGTGTTGTGTTTATGGTTGTGTATTTGTCCTACTCTTAATTGAGTTATATGAGTCACCTACTGTTTGGTCTTCCTGGAGGTTCCTATATGATGGGATTAGTCTGGTGTCAGACCTGTGTTACCTCGTTATCTAATCAGTGTGGGATGTTTATCCCAATGTGTAATATTTGTTTTTTTATTGTTCATGTGGGGACTGCCCCTATTTGCAAAGTGTAAAAAAAAAAACCTGTATTACTGTTTAATAAAGAGTTCCAGTTTTGCACCTAAGCTAGTGTCATCTAGTCTTGGGTGTGATGCCCAGCTATAATACCTGGGTCCTGTGTCCGAGGGTGAGGAAGCAGTTCACGGACAGAGGCACTCAAGCAGGGTGCTAGGCGGTCCATCACATTTGGTGGCAGCAGTGGGATGTGCTTTCTCCCTTCAGAGCAATCCAAACTATCACTGGGATTATGGATGAAGGACAGCAAATGGCAGCTGTCACAGTACCTCACAACCAAACCAGTGTATCACAACATGTTCCATCTACCCAGCGATAAAACAACTAGGCCCAGAGTGAGGCAAGGCCTCAGTACTCACAGACCTAAACGGCAGGTGCTAATGAGGGTTTCAGGTGACCAATGGTAACCAAGCCACTGTGAGCAGACAGTGGAAATGGATTAGAGACCCTAATAAACCTTCAAAAACAGCAGCAGTGAGATGATGCTTCCACCAGACTAAATGATGGAAAATCAAACACGAAGCATGTGTGCACAGCTCTCCACCCAACAGATGGCACCAGAGCTCGATCCCTCAGCACAGTAAACTGGGAGTGGCATGAAATTTAAAATGGCACCCAATGGTGCAACAGTGAGGTAGCTTCTAGTGCTTCAGCCCGACCAGCCTTACACTGGGGGCTGTTCAATGGCTCTGGACCAGGAAACTGCTCTGCAGCTATATATCCTGTTCAGGTTTGGAAAGCGTCAAAGTCAGAATCCAGTGAAGAAAATTAGTTCAATCTTTTAGGACACTAGCAAAAAAATGAAGCATTTTGGGTTGAGAGAAGGGTTATACAGAGGCTGGCTTACTGCGTTTCCCAGTGTTCCAAACTCCTATATAACCTGACTGTAATGGAATTTGTCACTTCCCCGAACTTCTGGTACAAGGTACTGGTAACTTAAGGCAGGGTCAAGCTGCTGAAGGAGGGAGAAGCAGGGGAGTGGCTTGCGGCTGTAGGTTTTTGTACTATCTGCTGTAGCATACAGACACTCAGCTGCAGAGTTCCAAATATGTGGTTCTACGGGTTCTTGTAGGGCAATCGAGCCATCCCAAAACAGGAACTGGGGGAAGAGTCCATTTTCAAAGACAGAATGCAAATCAACTACAACCCTTAAAAAGAAAACACAGAGCAACACACAGCAAACCTGGCAAGTGCTGAGGTCCACAGTACCGTAATATTTTAACTTAAGAAGGTTTAAAAACACTTTACATCAGGCAGAGAAGTTTTACTGTCCCATTTATGTACTTCAGGTTTAATAAGACACTAGAATACCATAGAGTTGGTCATTAAAAGTACTTCTACGGCTTATGAAAACTGTGCTTCAGGCTTACAACTCCTACCTCCAGCTAGGTTGAAAGTTGTACATACACTATATTGCCAAAAATATTAGGACAGCCCTCCAAATCATTGGATTCAAGTGTTCCAATCACCTCCATGGGCACAGGTGTAAAAAACAAGCACCTAGGCATGCAGACTGCTTCTACAAACATTTGTGTAAGAACGGGTCACTCTCAGGAGCTCAGTGAATGCAAGCGTGGTACCGTGATAGGTTGCCACCTGTGCAATAAGTCTATCCATGAAATTTTCTTTCTGATAAATATTCCATGGTCAAGTGTTATTGGTAATATAACAAAGTGGAAGCAACTGGGAACAACAGCAACTCAGCCATCAAGTGGTAGGCCACATAAAATGACAGAGCATAGTCAGCGCATGCTGAAGTGCACAGTGCGCAGAAGTTGCCAATTGTCTGCAGAGTCAATAGCTAATACCCTCCAAACTTCATGTGGCCTTCAGATTAGCACAACAACAGAGCGTAGAGAGCTTCATTGAATGGGTTTCCATGGCTGAGCAGCTGCATCCAAGCCTTACATCACCCAAGTGCAATGCAAAGCATCGGATGCAGTGTTGTAAAGCATGCCGCCACTGGACTCTAGAGCACTGGAGACGTGTTCTTGGAGTGACAAACGATGCTTCTCTGTATGGCACTCCCATGGCCGTGTCTGGGTTTGGTGGTTGCCAGGAGAACGGTACTTGCCTTACTGCATTATGCCAAGTGTAAAGTTTTGGTGGAGGGGGAATACGGCCTGGGGTATTTTTTCAGGGCTTGGCCCTTTAGTTCCAATTAAGGGAACTCTTAAGGCATCAGCATACCAAGACATTTCAGACAATTTCATGCTCCTAACTTTGTGGGAACAGTTTGGAGAAGGTCCCTTCCTGTTCCGACGCAAAGGTCCATAAAGACATGGATGAAAGAGTTTGGGGTGGAGGAACTTGACTGGCCTGCACAAGTGCGCTTCTGGAAGAATGGTCAAACATTCCCATAGACACACTCCTAAACCTTGTCGACAGCCTTCCCAGAAGAGTTGTAGCTGTTATAGCTGCAAAAGGTGGGCCAACTCAATATTGAACCCTACGGACTAAGACTGGGATGCCATTAAAGCTCATATCCATGTAAAGACAGGTGTTCTAATACTTTTGGAAATATAGTGTATGTCTCAGCAGAAAGATATTTAGTTGAGAAGTACCCACCTTGCAGGACATGTTGCTTTGTATGATTGCCCAGATGCATTGTCTCCCTCTCCACTTTTCTTGGGCTGTGCACCTTTCCTTCTTGGCCCATACTGACATTCCATCACAATTGCTCTGCTTCCTATAATAGCCAAATTTAGAATTTCTTATAGGAAAAAAAGTCTGTCTGTATATCATTCAGTTTTCTGATGCATGCACATTAACCCTCTCAAAATGATGAAAACAGCAAGCACGCACACAAAAATAAGCTGGCAACTTTTTCACATTTAAGCTAAATTTTGCTAAAATATTGTGATTTTAGCATTTTAAACTGATTTTCCCACATAACCCCGCTAAGTAATAATGACAAATGCCAATTTAAAATAAGCACATATGTTTAAGTTTAATACAAATAAATTAGCTCCAGATCTATTTATTTAAATGTGTTCTGATGTTGCCCGTGAGCAGCTTTGAGTACTCTAGCAGATGTTGTCAGACCATCGCAAGTTCAGTCTCCAGCTTCTAAAATACATTTTATGTTTGTTTTCATATAGTATATAAAAGAACAATTCCAGGTACAGATATTTTTACATAGTTAGATTGGTCTAGCTTGGACCAATGTAACTATGCATATACCATATCTGTGGGATCCCTCAAGTAGGTGGAAATCACTGTTGTAGGCAATCATACTACAGTGATCTCTACTAGCTTCTGGGTCGCATGCCAAGCGGCTCCCCTGCTGCATTGTGTAAACCGGAGGTCGACTGCTGGACATGGACACCATTCAGAGAATGCATTGCGTTTTCTCAATGAAGCATTCTCTGACTTAACAAGGTGGAAAGCATGATGTCAGAAACCCCACCCATCCACCTTGTCCAATCAGAAAATGCTTTTATTGAGATACAGCAAAGCAATCTCTGAATAGCACTCGTGCTAAGCTGTAGACCTCCTGTGTACAATAATCAGCAGGGCAGCCACTTGGTCTGAAGGTGCAGGAATTGGGGTTGATCTGAGATGTGAAGGTGCAGGAATTGGGGCTGATCTGAGATGTTAACGTGTAGCAGTTGGGGCTGATCTGAGGTGAGATATAGTGCAAGAATTAGGGCAGATCTAAGGTCTTAAGGTTCAGGAATCTTAGCTGATTCAAGGTCTGGGGGTTCAGGAAATTGGGGTGATCTAAGGAGTAAAAATGTAGGGATGGGAGTGAATTTGATATCAATGTTAATATAAAGATGTTTTCTGTGTGCACCAGTTAAAATAATATTAATTAATAAGCTAAGCATGCCATTAGCAGTACAACTATGAGTGCAAAAATTTAAAACAACCTATACAACTACAGCTTGCTATTGTTTACTGGCACACTGCCTTCCTAATACTAGTAAAATTTCCAATTAATTTGAAAAAGGATGCTGACCCCCTCATCTCTACCATCTTCTGAGCCTTCTCTAGCTCTGTTGGATGTAGCCACTTCCTCTGCTCGATCCAGGGAGGTTCGTGCAGGACTTTATGGGCCAAATAGCACAGATGTTTGCTGTGCCTTCTCTTGCAAATTCTATATCTAATCTACATGAGGTTTTAGCGGTCTCTGAGTCATCAGCTGCTGATAATATGATGCAGAGTCCCTCTAGACCTTACTGGATGAATCTGCCTTAAAAGATCACAAACTTCTGCCTTCCCTCCCAAACAAAACTGGACTGTTTCTCATGTGGTGCACACTACTTTAAGATTAGAGGATCAGTCCGTCACTTCTGTTGTTCCCAGTCTAGGGTCCTTTAGGGAGCCCAAGACCACCAAGACCTTTTACCAATGCATGCTTGCAGTATTGAGCTACAGTGTGGATGGGTTCTGTATTAGTCTACCTCCAATGGACATGTAGAGGACATTTTGTTTAAAGTGTTGGAATGTGGAGTCTGTCTGTAAAACGCACCTACTCTGCATGGGGTGTAAGCTGCACTGCCTCTTCAGGATTGCTCTGGATGCTCTCATCAAGGACACAACAGGTGGCAAGAGTACTAATTTTTCTCAGCTAAAAAAAAAGCCTAAGCATCATAGATGTAAAGAAAGATGTGCCAGACCAAAATCATAAAGAGTCCAAGATAATTTTGATTGTTAATAAAAAAAAAAAAGTCATATAAACCAGCCAATGCGATTTAGGGGCACCAAAACAGGAACTTCACAGATCTACATTAGAACCAGTATTGAACTCTCCAGGTGGAGTAACAACTTAACAACAATTGCTGAGGAGCCTAAGGCTCCGCTTGGGAAGGTCCACCCCTCTCTGGGGCCTCACACTCCTGTCTCAAGCCTTGTTCCCAATTTAGCCCCAAGCCTTGGAACTCCAGGTCTTCCAAGCCTGCCTCTTTTTTGCAGAACAGTATGACCCCCCTTTCCTAAGTACGGGGGGGGGGGGTCATCTGTTAGCCTTTGTGGACACTTGTACAAGCTGCACCATGGATGCTTATGTGTGGGAAGTGGTTTCCAAGGGCTACAAGCTGGAGTTTTGTTCCCAGCCCCCTCCCCACTTGATCACTTCCAACTTTCCTGTGTCACTGCACAGATTATCAGATCTCCCATTGTCCTAGTTCCAGTGGCAGAACAAAGAGTTTTACTCCTATGATTCCCAAGCCAACAGGGGGCATTCACCGCACCTTTGATCTGAAGGTTCTAAATGTTTTTACATTTGAGATCAGGGGGCTTCCTGGCATTGGTGGGCATCCAAGACGTGTACCTACATGTCCGTACTTTTCCAGACAACTAGCATTTCCTACACTTTGCTGTGGGCCCTCTGCATTTCCAGTATGTGGCCCTGTCATTCGGTCTATCTTTTGCACTTTAAGCATTCACCAAGATGCTGGTCCCAGTACAAACATTGTTATGTGCTCAATTGAATAACCTCCTACTGAGGGAACAGTTGGTGCAGGTTCTGGCAAACAACGTAGCCCTGAGTGTGCAGACTTTGCAGAGATTCAGGCGGATTCTGAACATTCAGCTATTAGTGCTGGAATCGACTCACTGCTTGGAATATCTGGGTCTAATCCTAGACAAATTCTAAAGCCAGAGTTTTTCTTCTGCAGGGGAAATTACAAACTCACAACTCTCCAATATAGGAGTTCAGCAAAGTCTTGGGGCTGATGGTCTAATTTGCCTAGTTTCACTCCAGAACCCAAACCTATTCAATTGTTGTGGGACAAGTCAACCAAGTAGACACCGAGGAGCAGGTCATCCCTGGTCAACCCATGGTGGTTCAGGAATCCTTCTCTGGAGTCTCTCTTTCCCATCTTTTGGAAGGTCCTCAGCCTGCAGTGCTGGAGAGGAATACAGAGCACCCTACCAGTGCAGGTAACTTACACAGAAGAAATCCTGTCTCCCAAGATTTAGCTGTCCCTACAGCAATGGACCACCCAGCTGGAGGATTACCTTATCACGAACAATTCTGACATTGCCATGGCACCTGCATACATCAATCATTAGGAGATAACCTGAATTCTCACTGCGACAAGAATGGTTGAGTAGATTCTATCCTGAGCAAAACTCCGCTAGACAACTATCAGGCAGGCAGGCAGGCCGGCCGTCCTCAGCTGAATGTAGACCTTCTGGCCACCAGTTTCAACAACTAACTGGATAGGTTTGTCTCCAGGGGCAGACATCCTCTAGCAGAAGCAGTGGATGCTCTATTGGCTTTGTGAGATCAGTACATCCTGATATGTGCCTTTCCTCCTTTGAAACACCTTCCTTGTCTGTTTCACAGGATTGACATGGAGGACATTCCAGTGATCCTCAGGCTGAAAAAATAGGGCAAAACTGGAACTCCTGAACCATAAAGAGTATAATAAAATATTTTATTATTACAAAAATGTATCAAACCACTTTATGAACCTCCACTAACCAAAAAACAACATATCTGTCATTAGGGGTCGCATGCCACAGCCTGATATTAACTGGTTATGAGCAACCTACTCTAATCCTTTATAAATGTCCATAATTTGTATCTATTTTTTTCAAAGCAAACGTTTTCAAAACTTCTACAACACTATATCTCTTTGATTAACTCTGTCCCTCTTCTTCCTATTCAGTATAAGTAGGGATATACCCACACAAAACGGACAGGATAAATATTTGTTCAGGTAAAAGGTTAAATATATATATTTACTGTATGTATTTAGCAATTTACCTTCCAGTTTAGTTTAAGTGCATTATTTTTCTAATTGAGCAGCTACTTGAAAAATGATTATGAACTTGATTATCCAAAAAACCCACAAGAGGGTTATGAGCTACAGTGGAAGGTATGCATTCGTTAAATACACTCCTGTATGTAATTTATTACCATGTCTCATCACAACAGTTATGTACAAGCATTAAAATATAGAGACAGGAATTATTATACCTGAATCATAATATAATGGTTTACCTGCATTTACAAAAGGGATTCCATCATAAGGAACATATTGTGATTTCCACATTAAGCGAGTGGCAGGTTTAGCTGGGCTTGGTGATTGGCGTGTTCCCCAAACACTCATTGTTTGCTGCTTATGAAGGCCTAAAATGTTCATGAGCTCAGCCTCGCTCAAACAGTAACCACGGTAAGAGTCTCCAATTTTCTGTAAATATAATAAAGAATGCTTACAAACCAAAATATTCAGTTTTTGTTATTGGTTAGCTTGTCATAATCAAAGTAAATCCAACTTGTCTGATCACCAATATCATAATTATGGTGGTAACAGATAGCACTGCCTGGCTCTCAAGTTGATCTAATATATTCAGTATTTTTTGAGGCGCTTACTGTATCTAGAACAAGTATTTCAATTAGTTCTGATGCACTGACTTTCTAATCTGTGTGCTTGTTCCAGGTCAGTGAATGCATTGAATCCAGAGATAGCCAGGTAACTAGTATTCTTACAACAAGGTCAGCAAAAGCACCCATACTTAAATCAGTACAGGTTTCCTTGGCATTGTCAGAAATTATGTGCTTATATTTTTTTTCGTGTTTGTTTACATGGGTTTCAGTTTGGATAAGAGCAATGTCTTCGGCAAGCTTCACAGCATTGTCTAAGCCTAAATTATTAATAAATACAAATCTTAGTGTGAGTGCTGAACGTCCCTTTAAAGGTTTATTGCATATTTTCCAAAAAGTTACAAATACAGCAAAACTGATCTTATGATCAATGTGCATTTACTACTTTTTTGCACCAAAGCCTGCAGAGCATTGCATGTAAGATCAGTGCATCTGCTGTGCAGTGCAAAGGTTTTATCAATGTTTTCCACTAGCCCCAGGTCCAAATGAAGGGAGAGAATGATTGTGTTCTCCTAGGTGTCCTTCCACATGTGCTCACGTTTTGTTCTTAACCTATAGATGCAATGGGTCTAGAATGAGCCTTCCCCTGTTTACTCTCAATCTCCCACATCCCCAATCGGCTGTCAGGACTCCCTGCCTCCACACTTTTCCTTATTCTCAATGTTTTTTTTATATATACTCCTCTTCATATGACCATACAAAACTTTCTATTCCTCAAAAAGTGCTCAAGAAAAATATACAGTGCATCCAGAAAGTATTCACAGCACTTAACGTTTGCCACATTTTGTTATGTTACAGCCTTATTCCAAAATAGATTAAATTAATTTTTTTCCTCAACATTCTACAAACAATACCCCATAACGACAACATGAAAAAAGTTCATTTGAAATATTTGTAATTTATTAAAAAGAAAAAAAAAAACACATGCACATAAGTATTCATAGACTTTGCCATGACACTCAAAATTGAGCTCTGGTGCATCCTGTTCCCACTGATCATCCTTGAGATGTTTCCACAACTTGATTGGAGTCCACTTGTGGGAAATTCAGTTGATTGGACATGATTAGGAAAGGCATAAACCTGTCTATATAAGGTCCCACAGTTAACAGTGCATGTCAGAGCACAAACCACACCTTAAAGTCCAAGGAATTGTCTGTAGACCTCTGAGACAGGATTGTATCAAGCCACAGATCTGGAGAAGGGTACAGAAATATTTCTGCAGCATTGAATGTCCCAATGAGCACAGTGGCCTCCATCATCTGGAAATGGAAGAAGTTTGGAACCACCAGGAATCTTCCCAGAGCAGGCTCCTGGCCAAAATGAGCGATCAAGGGAGAAGGGTCTTAGCCAGGGAGGTAACCAAGCATCTGATTGTCACTCCGAAAGAGCTCCAGCATTTCTCTGTGGAGAGATGAGAACCTTCCAGAAGAACAACCATTTCTGCAGCACTCCACCAATCAGGCTTGTACGGTAGAGTGGCCAGACAGAAGCCACTCCTCAGTAAAAAGGCAAATTGCAGCCTGCCTGGAGTTTGCCAAAAGGTACCTGAGAGACTCTCAGACCATGAGAAACAAAACTCTCTGGTCCGATGAATCAAAGATTGAACTCTTTGGCCTGAATGCCAAGCATCTTGTCTGGAGGAAACCAGGCACCGCTCATCACCTGGCCAATACCATCCCTACAGTGAAGCATAGTGGTGGCAGCATCATGATGTGCGGATGTTTTTCAGCGGCAGGAACTGGGAGAGTAGTCAGGATCAAAGGAAAGATGAATGCAGCAATGTACAGAGACATATTTGATAAAAACCTGTTCCAGAGCGCTCTGGACCTTAGACTGTGGCAACGGTTCATCTTTCAACAGGACAACAACCCTAAGCACACAGCCCATATAACAAAGGGGTGGCTACGGGACAAATCTGTGAATGTCCTGGAGTTGTCCAGTCAGAGCCCAGATTTGAACTCGATTGAACATCTCTGGAGAGATCTGAAAATGGCTGTGCACCGATGCTCCCCATCCAACCTGATGGCGCCTGAGAGGTACTGCAAAGAATGGGAGAAATTGCCCAAAAATAGGTGTGCCAAGCTTGTAGCATCATACTCAAAACAACTCAAGGCTGTAATTGGTGCTAAAGGTGTTTCAGCAAAGTATTGAGCAAAGGCTGTGAATACTTAGGTACATGTGATTTTTTTTTTGTTTTTTATTTTTAGTAAATTGCAAAAATTTCAAAACTAACTTTTTCCACATTGTAGTTATGGGGTATTGCTTGTAGAATGTTGAGAAAAAAATGAATTTAATCAATTTAGGAATATTGGGGGAAAAAATTAATTTAATCTATTTTGAAAAAGGCTGTAACATAACAAAATGTGGCAAAAGTTAAGCGCTGTGAATACTTTCTGGATGCACTGTAATATAATCATCATAGTGCTTTACTGTAAGATATATACCGTTTTTATTAAAAGATAAAAATATATGCTGTCCCCCTAAGACATGTAACTATGCGGTTGTGCTCTGTACTAACAGTCCTAACTTCCGGTCCGGAATGTGCTGACGTCACTGGCTCACCATGTGCAGTGATGCAATGCGAAGAGGCAAAGCCATTGACTTCAGCACATTCTGGACGGGAAGTAGGAGCTGTTTGTTCAGAGTACAGTGGCAGCATATATGTGTATAATCAGTGGTGCACCAGTTTTAAGTGCACACAAAATAGTGAGTGGCATTGCAATCTTTTAATAAAAGTGGTATATACCTTACAGTAAAGCATGGATAGTTTTATTATCTTTTTCTTGAACACTTTTCTTAGAAATATAGAGCGTGGCATTATATATGAAAGAGAAGGTTTGTATGGGCATGTGAAGAGTATATATAAATAAAAACATTAGGAATGAGGAAAAAGAGTTGTGTAGGCATGGGATCCCGCCAGGAGATTGTGGACAAGCCCCTTAAAGAGGAAGGTGCATTCTAGATATACTACATCTGCTGTATAGGTCAAAAACACAAGGTGAGCACATGGTGTGAAAATCAAAGGACACAATGACAGAATACAATTTGATGGTGTGGAGCACAAGGCACTAATATATACAGTAAGGCTACTTTCACACTGATTCATAGCAAAAGGGTTTTTACTGTGTTTGTGGTGCATTTTGTTACAGGGCATGTAAATCAAAAACTGCATAAAAAAGCAATGTGGGTATGTTTTTGATGCAGTGTTTTCCGTTGATTTCATTGGGGAGGTGCGTTTTTGGTGCGATATTTTTTTTTTTTTTACAGCACAAAACCTGCACCAAAAATGCAGCAAGTAGGATTTTAAAAAAAAATGCACCAGACCCGCAAAGGATCAGTGTGAAGAGTACATGGTCACACCTTTTTTTTTTTACGCTTTTTTTAATGCAAAAGCGGAAGAAAATTAGATCAGTGTAAAAGTTGCCTAAGTGGACTGTTTTGAATATATATTCTTTCATTTTACTGTACACTTAGGGATGAGATTTACTAAAACTGGAGCTCACAGAGTAGCCAATCAGCTTTTAAATTCAGCTTGTTCAATTAAGCTTTGCCAATAAAACCTAGAAACTAATTGGTTACCATGCGGAGCTGCACACAGATTCTGTGTGCACCAGTTTTAGTAAATTTCCTGCATGGTGATGTTATGCAATAAGAAAGATATTCCAGCATGCAGGATTAATGTTTATAATGTGATAAGTATGCACAGAGAGAAAGCTTTCAGCATGCAAATTCATGTTTAATAGTGGCACGTTTTGTTACTTTAAGAGAAAATTTCCAGCTCACAGGTTGATTTTTTAAAAAACATTTTATTGTTTATTTGATTGAGGTTTACGTCACAGGGTGGTTATATCAGTGGAAAACATTGTGGACACTATAACATTTTAAATATATAACATATTTTACATTCTGTGCATTAAAGTGATTCTAGAGGCTTAAATAAAAAAAAAAAAAAAAACAAAACAAAAACCCCAAACATGTCTTTACCTACCTGCTGTGTGCAGTGGTTTTGCACAGAGCAGCCCAGATCCTCCTCTTCTCGGGTCCCCCGCTGGCGCTCCTGGCCCCTCCCCTCTGTCGGGTGCCACCACAGCAAGCAGCTTGCTATGGGGGCACCCGAGCATGCGCACTCCCCACCCGCTGCTCTGTGACCATTCACACATGCAGCTGTGGCTCAGCCCCGCCCCCTCTCTTCTCATTGGCTCACTGGCTGTGATTGACAGCAATGGGAGCCAATGGCTCCCACTGCTGTCTCAGCCAATTAGGAGAGAAAGTCCCGGGATAGCTGAGACTCTAGTGCACATCTCTGGATCGAGAGGGGGCTTAGATGGAGGCTGGGGGGGCTGCTGCACACAGAAGGTTTTTTTTACCTTCATGCATAGAATGGTAAAAAACCTTGAGCCTTTACAACCACTTTAAGGTAAAGAAAACCCTTCCATAATCAGTTCTCCCACAGCACCCCCCAAAATACTTACCCAAGCCCAAACTTGATAGAATGCTTTGCCCGAATGCAGGGGTGTTGCTTTCTTCTCACAGGACATGGAGGCAGCAGCGGGAGCTATTGGATTCTACTGGTGCCAATCAAATTCTGAGAGAAGGGATAGGGAGAGACGAGATTGAGACAACCTGTGCATCAAGAGATGCAGCCCGGCTCGGGATCTAACCTGCAAAAGTGCCCCATAGCAAGCGGATTAATATGGGAGCACTTGGAAGGAAAGATGAGCCAAGAGTGCCAACTGGGGACCCTAGAAGAGGAGGTTTGCGGCTATTCTGTGTAAAACCATTGTACAGAACAGGTATAATATCTTTATTATTAAAAAAATATTTAATCTTTACAATCACTTAAAGAAATATTCTTCTCTATTGAAATGTGGTTTTACCTTACATTAGTTTGCTAAGTGACTTTCTTCACACGAACCCAGTATGAGATATGCCATTAGCTACTTTAAAATAACATTAAACCTTCATCTTTTTTTAAAATGTATTAAATTAACAAACATGGTATATTTACCTTTTTTATGCAATGGTTTTGCACAGAGTAGTCCTGATCCCCCTCCTCTGGGGTCCTCTGCCACGCTCCTGGATCCTCCTCTTTGAGTGCCCACTTTCCATGAGGGCACCCATGCGGGCTCACTCTCAAGCTGCCCTGTCTGCGTGTATTGACACAGAGCGGCCAAGGGCTCCCACTGCTATCAAACTGCTGTGAGGAGGGTGACAGCAGCAAGATCAGCTGCTTTTGTGCACATCACTAGATCAGATCGGGTTCAGGTAAGAAAACTGCGCTCCCCCACGTCCAGTAGTGGACTGTTTCTGCCATCCTTATATCCCGAGTTGGTCTATGGGCGTGACATCAGGAACAGCCCATTCACAAGACCGCTAGTGTGCAGGGGGGCAGGAGCGGTGGGGACCTGTCTTGAGCCCGGAGGATCAGCAGATTAAAAAAGTATATCTTAGCTTTCTGAGCCCCTAGACAAAAACAAGCATTTAACCCATTCAGTGCACAGCCACACTGCATTGAAAAATAACAATTTTGCCCGATATTATTCTTTAAATGATGACAATGAACTGCATGCTTTCTAAAAGCACTGAGAAATGTGTCATCACTATGTACAGTAAATGTATGCATTAGATATATACACATATAGATTACACATTACTTACTAACCGTAAGACACTAGAATCTGAGCCCAAATCTTTGAAGAACATAATGAAATTCAGAAATTGAGGTTGATAAGTCATTAAACTGTACTGTGTTGGTCTTCACTGAGTTTATATCCAAAACTACAATTGAAGGTATGGTGTGGTGTGGCATGATTGAATTTATCTCACCTCACAGCTCCTGAGACGACGGGCCCAAACAGGAATGTTAGGAGGAAGAGGTTGAAGAGGTTTCTGAAAGGATTCAACAGTCCATCTACAAAGGACAGTTCAAAAGATTAAAAACAAAACCTCTTAATAGGTTTACACAATAGTAAAATTATTAAGAATTTTATCCAGTTAGAAGAGACAAGTACATACATTTTAGAGTTTTAGCCATTCTGTACTCTATATGGTCATATGCAGTATCTATTTGGAAAAAAATATTTGAATATACTGTAAAGGAATTGGTGTTCTATTAAATAAACAAAATCAGTGGAACAAATAAAAAAGGGACATTTTTAAGTGGTTGTAAAGGCTGAAGGTATTTTAACTTCATGCATTCTATGCATGAAGGTAAAAAACCTTCTGTGTGCTGCTCCCCCCCCACAGCCCCCTCTCAATCCAGCGATGTGCACGAGAGCCTCGGATGTCCCGGATTTCTCTCTCCTCATTGGCTGAGACAGCAGCAGGAGCCATTGGCTCCCGCTGCTATCAATAACAGCCAGTGAGCCAATGAGGAAAGAGCGGGACCATGGATCTACATGTCTTGCAGACGCATACAGCGGGGCTCGGGATTGGGCACGCACCATTGTCCCCATAGTTAGTGGCTTTATATTTACCTGTCCAGTGGACAGTGTACTAAAACTTTGCTCTTTAACCACTTGACAACCAGGCTATAGCCAAATGATGGCTACAGCACGGTTGTCCAGTTCTGGGAGGGCGTCATATGACATCCTCCCAGAACGCCCCCCTGTGCACCTCAGCAATGCTCACCTGGTGCTGGTCTGTGATCGCTGTGTCCTACGGACACAGTTGATCACATGACAGGATAAAAGGCCAATCACAGCGGCCTTTTACCACATGATCAGCTGTGTCCAATGACACAGTTGATTACAAAGTAAATACAGTTGCCGGCTATCAGCAGCACTTTCCTCACACTGTCACAGCATGAAGAAAGTACTGCCGATAACCGGCAAGTGTCACAGAGGACATCTGCACTGACAATCAGAGAACTGATTATCAGTGCCGCCCCAAAAGTGCCGAGCAGTGGCGCCCATCAGTGCCCAGCACTGCCACCCATCAGTGCCGCCAAGCAGTGCCCATCAGTGCACCTATCAGTGCAGCAGCATCAGTGCCTCCTCATCAATTTCCACCAGTGCCGCCTCATCAGTGCAGCCTATCAGTACCCATCAGTTCAGCCTCATCAACGCACATCAGTGAAGGAAAAAATTTACCTGTTTGCAAAATTTTATAATAGAAACAAAGAAAAAAAATTTTTTTTTTCATTTTTTGCTCTTTTTTCGCTTATAGTGCAAAAAATAAAAAACCCAGTGGTGATTAAATACCACCAAAAGAAATCTCTGTTTGTGTGAAAAAAAATAATACAAATTTCATATGGGTACAGTGTTGCATAATTGCGCAATTGTCAAAGTGCAACAGCGCTGAAAGCTGAAAATTGGCCTGGGTCAAAAAATGTGTTTTTCTTCGTTTCTGTTATAAAATTTTGCAATAATTTGTCTAAACAAATTTAGGCCAAAATGTATTCTGCTACATTTCTTTGGTGAAAATAACCCAAATCAGTATTTATTATTTAGTTGGTAGAAAAGTTATAGAGTCCACAAACTATGGTATATATCTAAAAATCGATAAATCCAGATGTACTGATGGCCTATCTCATTTCTTGAGGCCTAAAAATGCCAGGACGATACAAATAGCCCCGAAATGACTAGTTTTCGGAAAGAAGACAGTCTGAGGTATATCGTAAGAGGCATGATGAGTTTTTTTGAAGTTGCTATTTTTTTGTCACAATTTTGAAGAAATGAAAAAAAAGTTTAACTTTTTTTTTTTTTTTTATACATACTGCAATCATTGCAGTACAGCGTCAGCATATAACTGGTGTGGCGGTGATCAGGGACTGGCGACAGTATGTATAATATTTTTTTTTAAATCAATGATTTAAAAACATATAATATTTTTTCTTAATTTTTATTACATTTTTAATATTTTTTTATGATTTTTTTTTTTTCTACTCCTGTGACCAGAGCAATACAATGTGACCATAGTAACATTGTACTACTCTGGGCATTATGGATTGCTTATACCAATTAATTTAATTGGTATAAGCAAGCATTTTTACTGAATGAAACCGATTCATTCATTAGTTTTTGTGCTGTGATTGGCCCAGTCTGTACATATGAGCACTGTAACTAATCACAGCTAGCAGCACAGTTTTAAGCAATGAATGGCATGAAAGGAAACCATTTATTGTTTACAACTGTCGTGTGATCTGCTGTGATTGGTCACAGCGATCACATGACACTGGCAGCAGGCGGTGCAGTGATCTGTCATTGGCCATATCCAGTGGACACAGCAGTGACAGATCGTGCCAGAGTGTAACCCGTGGGGTGAGCGTGAGGTGCGATCCTGGGAGGCCGTTCTCCCGGGATAATAGGGATTGTGGTTGGCCGTCATCGTACAACAGGCTGGGTTGGAAGGGGTTAAGGACCCATCCACAACTAGACTTCCAGTTGTGTTGCATTAAGGCAGCCCATTTAAAAGAACGGGCTGCCAATGCACCAAAACATCACCCCGCCATAAAAAATTACTATTTTTTTTAAAGCAGTGCACCTACACACATACAGTGCTCAGCATAAATTAGTACACCCATTTTGAAAAGTAAGAGTTTAATCAATATCTTGATGAACACAAGAGCAATTTCCAAAATTTTGACAAAACTGAGTTTTATAGAACATTTGTTTAGCTCATTACTTGAAAGTAAGGTAAATAATATCACTTAGATTACAAAATCTTCAGTTTTACTCAAATTAGTTGATGCAAAAATGAATAAACCCCACAACAATAACTACTCCATCTAGTATTTTGTATGACCTCATACACCATGACCTGTAAGGACAGCACCTAGTCTTCTAGGCATGGAATGAACAAGTTGCCGACATATTGCAACATTGATCTTTTTCCATTCTTAAAGATCGACCTCTTTTAGAGCCTGGATGCTGGATGTAGAGTGATGCAACTTGTCTCTTCACAATTCCCCATAGGTGTTTGATTGGGTTAAGATCAGGAGACATACTTGGCCACTGAATCACTTTCACCCTGTTCTTCAGAAATGCAACTGTGGCCTCAGATGTGTGTTCTGGACCATTGTCATGTTCGAAAAGTGCACGATGACCAAGGGCACGGAGTGGTGGTAGCAACTTCTCTTTCAATATAGAGCAGTACATCTGTGAATTCATGGTACCATCAATGAAATGAAGCTCCCCGACACCAGCAGCACTCATGCAGCCCCACAGAAGGACACTGCCACCACCATGTTTCACTGTAGGCACCATGCATTTTAATTGGCACTCGTCACTTTTGCGACGCCATACAGTTTTGAAGCCATCAGTTCCAAAAACATTTATCTTTGTCTCATCACTCCAGAGTACAGAGTCTTCTTCTATTTCAGCATGGGCCCTGGCAAATTCTAGGTGGGCTTTTTTGTGTATGGGCTTTAGGAGAGGCTTCCTTCGTGGACGACACCCATGCATGCCATTCCTCTGCAGTGTACACCGTATTGCGTACCGGGAAATAACCAGTTTGGCTTTCTTCTGTCAATGTTCTTAAACCCATATCATCAGAAGACGCTCCTGTCGAGGTCTTAACTTCCGTAGATGGCCTGGATGGTTCTGTGACATGGTTGCAGTTCCATCTTTGTTAAATTTTTGTATCACTTTTGCTACAGTATTCTGACTGATAAGTAAAGCTTTGCTGATCTTCTTGTAGCCTTCACCTTTCTTGTGTAAAGAAATTATTTTCTTTCTCAGGCCTTGTGACTTCCATGTTATGCCATTGCTGAAAGCATGAAATGGGGAGGGGTCTTCTTTGTTAAGTAACACCCTTTTATAATCAACTGTCTGCTGGACACCTGTTTAATGAATAATTAGCCTCACCTGTAGTTGTATTCTTGTTAATTAGGATTTTGTTGTCTAAAATTTAGCTGTGCTCCTAAGACTTTCATTGGGGTGTATTCATTTTTGCAACATGGTCTTGAATGAACTATTTGTATCATCGATTAGCTGGTCAGCCGATTAGTTGGTCTGCATACAGTATGCATTATTGGTTTACATATCAATATACACAGTGCAGCACACATAAAGTTCAGTACACCAATGCCCCATGGGAAATCTAGTCCTGGGCAGGAGAAGGAAGTGATGTAAGGACTCTGTATAGGGAAGATCAGCATCTGAACACAGAGAAGCTGTAGGCTGATAGACTGGAGGTAAATGAAAGCATTCAAATTTAAAGTAAAAGTTTACTAGCTTTGTGCATTATATTTAAAAATTATTATATCCATGCAAAAAGTCTCAGCCTTAATTATTAAGGGAGCTCTTGTCCATAATGGACATGGTATTGACACAGCTCCAAATGATCCACATTGGCTCACAACTGATCGGATCCAAAAATATTTAGACAGAATAAAGGTGAATAAAGCACCTGGACCAGATGGCATACACCCATAGGTCCTTAAAGAATTGAGCTCTGTCATTTCAAAGCCATGACAGAGCTAATTTTTAGGGACTCTTTAATGACTGGCATAGTACCACTGGATTGGCGTAAGGGCAATGTGGAGCCAATATTTAAAAAGAGGTCAAAATCTTTATCAAGTAATTATAGACCTGTTCGTTTAACTTCTATAGTTGGGAACATACTGGAGAGTTTAATAAAAGACCACATAGATAAATTCTTGCTGGAAAAGAATATTTTAAGCAACATACAGCATGGATGCATGAAAGACAGAAGTTGTCAAACTAATCTGATTTCTTTTTATGAGGAGGTGAGCAAAACCTTGGACAGAGGGGTGGCGGTGGACGTGGTATACTTGGAGTTTGCAAAAGCGTTTAACACAGTTCCCCCCATGCAGCTAATGTGTAAGGTAAAGTCTACAGGCTTGGAAAAATCTGTATGTAAATGGATAGAAAACTGGCTAAAAGATCGTATTCAGCGAGTAGTGGTTAATGATTCATACTCTAAATGGTCTAGGGTTGTCAGTGGGGTACCCAAAGGTTCAGTGTTGGGACCCTTACTTTTTAATATAAACGATATAAGGTCTGGGATTAAAAATACCATTTCAATCTTTGCAGATGACACCAAGCTGTGCAGTGGAATAACGTCCTTACAGGATGTCTTCAATTTACAAGCTGTAATTGGGCAACTATGTGACAAATGAGGTTTAATGTTGATAAATGTAAGGTGATGCACTTGGGGGTTAAGAATATGTATACATCATACATACTGGGGAGGAGGGGGGGTACATTTGGGGAATCAATGGTGGAGAAGGATCTTGGAGTTCTGGTAGATCACAAGCTTAATAATGGCTTGCAATGCCAAGCTGCGGTTTCTAAAGCAAGCAAAATCTTCTCTTGTATTAAAAAGAGCTATAGACTCCAGAGAGAGAGATATCATATTACCCCTGTACAAATCATTAGTAAGGCCTCATCTGGAATATGCAGTTCAGTTTTGGTCACCAATTCACAAAAAGAACATTGGGGAACTGGAGAAAGTACAGAGAAGGGCAACCAAACTGATAAGAGGCATGGAGGAGCCCAGCTATGAGGAAAGATTAGAGGAACTAAATTTATTGTCTCTTGAGAAGAGGAGATTAAGGGGGGATATGATCAACATTTATAAATACATCAGTGGTTCATATAGTGAACTCTGTGTAGAGTTATTCACCCTGAGGACATTACAGAGGACAAGGGGGCACTCTTTATGTCTGGAGGAAAATAAATTTAATCTCCAAACACGGAAAGGTTTCTTCACAGTGAGAGCTGTGAAAATGTGGAATAGACTCCCTCAAGAGTTGGTTCTGGCCAGCTCAGTGGATTGCTTCAAAAAAGGCCTGGATTCTTTTTTAGATACACAGAATATAACTGGATACTAACATTTATAGGTAAAGTTGATCCAGGGAATATCCGATTGCCTCTCGGGGGATCAGGAAGGAATTTTTTTCCCAGCAGGAGCAAATTGGATCATGCTTTGCTTGACCTTAGTTTTGGTCTCTTGGCTTTTTCTTTGATTAATACCCCAATTGTCCGGCCTGTTAGATTAGGTGGATGGCCATATCTTGGTAGGTTTGCAGTTGTGCCATACTCTTTCAATTTTTAGATGATGGCTTGAACAGTGCTCTGTGAGATGTTCAAATCTTGGGATATTCTTTTATAACCTAACCATAACTTTATCCCTGACCTGTCTGGTGTGTTCCTTGGCCTTCATGATGCTGTTTGTTCACTAATATTCTCTAACAAACCTCTGAGGGCTTCACAGAACAGCTGTATTTATACTGAGATTAAATTACACACAGGTGGACTCTGTTTACTACTTAGGTGACTTCTGAAGGCAGTTGGTTCCACTAGATTTTAGTTAGGGGTATCAGAGTAAAGGGGGCTGAATAAAAATGCACACCACACTTTTCAGATATTTATTTAAAAAAAAAAATTGAAAACCATTTCTCATTTTCCTTCCACTTCACAATTATGTGCCACTTTGTGTTGGTCTATCACATAAAATCCAAATAAAATACATTTACATTTGGTTGTAACATAACAAAATGTGGAAGATTTCAAGCGGTATGAATACTTTTTCAAGGCACTGTATATGATATAAGAAATATTTTTTTTACCGTCACGGTCAAAATTAACACCTTATAGTAGTGATTGTTTGCAGCTGAGCTGCAGATATTTGTTTTTGTACTATAAAGGGCTATTTTTTTGGTTTTTCAACCCCATCATGACAGGTGATACAAAAGGCATGCTGCTGTTACTAAATGTCTTAGTGACAGTAGATGTAGGTAGCTTGTATCAAGTGACCTGTCTATGATAAGGGACTGTGTCATGCATAATATTATATTACAGTTCTGTCTGAAAATCTACAAAACAGTGTTTTAAGCCTTTTTTTATTTTATTTTTTCCTTAAATAAAATGTTTAATCTTTGAATCTGATGGTATGTACCAGATTCAACCCCAGTAAGTTTGTATATCTCTTCTGTTATTCTGAAAGTGGATTAGATATTTTGTTCCCTAACCATATAGCTGGTTATTTATATTTACTACTGCATGTAGATATTCAAGAATATATATTTTTTAAGCTTTACATCTTAACGTGAATATGTAATAACAAATATTAATTTGTACAGTTGTGTAAAGTTAATGTAAAGTTTAAGTTTTTTTATCCTGCAGTTTGTGTGCAACATTCTGTCCGGTAAATTATTTTAAACAAAAGACAGAATGGCATGTTTTTATCTGATTAACTGAATCGGCCAACTAATTTGTTCTTAAAATAATTGTTAGTTGCAGTACTACCAAAAATCACACTTTGTATTGGCATTGTTAGGCTGTATCTGCAAGCCCACCATTTGCATCTATAACCACACAATCTAACTTTAAAGTGATACTAAACCCAGGACCCTGCATTCACTATATCTGGTCTCCCACAGTACACACAACATGGAAATGCAATTATTTTAGAAAATATAAACTGCTAAATACAGTTTCTCATCAGCAGTTAGAGCAGCCTGGTGACTTTAGCAGAGCACTGGTTAAAGCTTGTAGGAGGAGTTTTCTCTCTGCTCTAGGAGGATGTGAAACCCCTGACCCTCTGTCTGGACAGTGCTGATTGGCCCTGTGCTGATCACATGCACTCTCCCAAGATAAACAAAAAAAAAAACCTCTTTAGCAATACAAACCAAACTGAACATGTGCATGTGAACACTGATTCAGTCTGTATCAGGTGGTCATTTCAACAAGAGGAGGGGCAGAGAAGAAAAGATCAAACAGCCTTTTTACACAATGCAGAGGATTAACCCCTTAGGTTCCCCAGTGAGTATAACAAGCATTCTTTCTTGCATATACAGACTGATTTTACGGTTGTGGATTTAGTAACACTTTAAGCATTGGTTCACCCCAAATGTGGCTTTGAAATTGAGTTACTTCAGCATGATTTCAAAGCTTCCGATCAGTGCGACTTCATGTGCGGCTTGCTGGCATCTGTGCAAGTCAGAGTTGCACGGATCACAAATAGGGTGTGACTTTGATCTATCAAGCCGCATGACAAATCACACCAATGTGACCCAGGGCTGCCTATATTTGAGAAGACATCAAAATATTGCAATACCCTCAATTCACACAATTATTATTTATCCTATGACTAAGAGAGATCACTATACACTACTAAATTGAACAAGCTAAAAAGGATCTGCTGCCTCCCATACCGACCAACGAGAAGCTTACTTTAATTTTCCAATTAGCAATAAAAAATATGAGTTGCTTTGGTTGGCTGGTTAGTTGCTGTTAGGCACAAACAAGCATACTAAATCCTATAGCAATAATATATGAAGGCCAATGGATTTAAAATATAAAAAAAACCTATGTTGCAGCAGCTACAAGAACAACAAATTAAGTTAGTAAAAAATATTTATACCTGGTGGGTGACTTATTACGCACAGTAAGTGAAGTGTTGGAGTGGATAATAAAGCTGCTTGTTTCAGTTTGCATTTCATCACTGGCCTGGCCATGTTCTGCAGACTCTTTAAAATGTGAAGAAAATAAAGATAGTGTATCAGACAATTATGCATCTCACTTTCTATACAATCACAACTACTATTTGTAGTTCAAGCACTTACAAATTTGCATATAATACCCAATAGGCACAGTGTTCTCAAAACAAAATAACTTGGCTTCCTCCCACAGCAGGTTGTTGAGGGTTATGCCATTCACTTTATGGACAGATTTGGAAAACTGCACTGTGCTGCAGTGTCTTCTCAAGAGATTTGGGCTACTCAGCATTCCCAATGATCTTGTTGACAGGATAATATCACTCCCCAAACTATGGAAGTCTGGGAAAGGTGAGTATATTATTTGACTATTACCCCTCCCCCCCCTAAATAAGTTCTTTTATGATTAAGCAGACATCTGAAATGAAAAATGAACAAAGAATATCCTTCTATAATGTGTACTTGCCTCTATTTGTCTCCTCTCTTATTCCTTTGTTAACTGCATGAATCACTTCTGACAGTCTATGCTGACTCCAGACAATTCCAGAAGATGGCCCTGCCCCCCCTCCAGCACACAGCAGGTGATTTGACAGCCTCAGCTGTGCATGTTTCACTATAAGAGTATAGAAAGGGGGATGTGTCTTTTCCTCCCACTCAGATGTCAGATTACACTCAGCTCCCTGCTCAATGTTGTGCAGTTTGTTATATCAAATCCCCATCCCCTGCCTTTTGCAGCTGAGAAATGCTGTCTAAATTCTGTACTTTGAAGGACTGTAAAGGAGAGCGGATGGCAGATAAACAGGCACAACCTATTTAGGAGGATGTTTTTGATCTTTGTATGTACATTGTGGCTATTCACTTCAGTGTAAGAGTTTGCAACCACTTAAAAAAAATCACAAAGATAAATAGTTTTTTTGCATAGATTTATTTTTAGGACTAAAAATCAAAATTAATTTATGTATACATATAAAAAGGGGAGAGGCATGTATAATGTTTTTATATAAGTGAGCTCAGGGAGGAGAAACAGCAGCACACTAATCTTCCTAGTGAATGGCTGTGCAGAGGGGGCATGTCAGCACAAGCCTGAGCATTGATTAGTTCCCTGCACAGCTAGAAAACTGACCATGCTGTGTGGTCTGCCTAGTGTGGACTGTTAGTAATAGGAAAGCAGAGGGATTGGCAGGAACACCAGGGACTTCACACAAAGGAAACAATACAAAGAGAACACAATGCTTTTTTATACAAGCATGTGGTAAAACAGAAACAAATCAGGAATATGAAATGTTGGGTTTACATATTCTTTAAGTAGTATTGTTCAGGATCACGTCAGGATTTTATCCTGTTCACAACTGATGACATATGAGACTCATAAGCCGGACTGCACTGCTCAGAAAATTGACAGGACTCTTTTTCAATTCACACTGAATCTGCACTCCGGTAGCACTGCATATACTGTATGTGAACAGGCACAATAGAAACCAATGTTATTTCATGTCATGCTAATTGAATGCAGCTCAAAATGCATCAAATTTGCATATATGTGAACCAGCTCTAAAAGCAGAATATCAAATTACACTGTGTTAAATGAAGTGAGGCGGGACACAACCCTCCCTTTCTGCTACCAAAGGGAGTGCCGTTCTGGATTTTTAATCCTCTGGAGTATTCAGTATATGCTGGGGCAGCCTTGGGATTTCTTATTAGATGATCATGGAAACAAACTGAATGAAATATTTGTCTGTAAAATAAAGATTTTGTACAAAATATTCCCTTTAAAGAACATCTGCACTTAAACAGAAAGCATTGAAATTCAAGAAAACAACAGATTTAGCAGGACAAAGTAGTAAAAGTATATCAATCTATAAAGTTATGGCTGGTGAATGTTCCACATCTTCATTATAATGACAATATCTTCATTATATTGGTACCCTCCCCCTCCATCCTACGCTCCCTCACCCACATCTTCCAACTCTCCCTCTCTACTGGCGCATTCCCCTCCCCTCTAAAGCACGCGCACATCACCCCCATACTCAAAAAACCCTCCTTGGACCCCACTGACCTGAACAACCTTAGACCCATCTCCCTGCTGCCATTCACTTCCAAGCTCCTTGAGCGCTTAGTTTACAATCTCCTAAGCGCCCACCTCACTGACAACAACCTCCTCGATCTACTACAATCTGGCTTTCGTCCCCTACACTCCACCGAAACCGCCCCTACTCAAAATCACTAATGACCTGCTAACCGCCAAAGCTAATGGCCACTACTCAGTCCTCTTACTCCTTGACCTCTCCGCGGCCTTCGACACAGTTGACCACCCTCTCCTCCTTGATAAACTACACTCCCTCGGCATCAGAGACTCCACTCTCTCCTGGCTCTCCTCCTATCTCTCCCAACGCTCCTTCAGCGTTACCTATAACGCTACCACCTCCCCCTCTCTGTTGGGGTCCCCCAAGGCTCTGTCCTCGGGTCCCTTCTCTTCTCCATCTACACCTCCTCCCTTGGCAAACTGATACACTCCCACGGCTTCAACTATCACCTCTACACCGATGACACGCAAATTTACCTCTCTACCCCTCAACTCACCCCTTCAGTTTCCGCCTGTATCACCCACCTGCTGAACGACATATCAGACTGGATGTCGCTCCACTTCCTCAAACTGAACCTTTCCAAAACCGAGCTCCTAATTTTCCCCCCAGCCAGCGCCCCCCCCCCACCCTCTTCATCACGACCAACAACGCCACCATCAGTCCCACCCCACAAGTCAAAGTCCTAGGTGTCACTCTAGATTCAAACCTGTCCTTCCAACCCCACGTCCAATCGTTAGCATGCTCATGCAGGCTTCACCTCCGCAACATCTCCAAAATACGTAGGTTCCTAACCCCAGACACTACTAAACAACTCATTCACTCCCTTATTATCTCACGTCTGGACTACTGCAACTCCCTCCTCACGGGCCTACCTCATCACAAACTATTCCCACTTCAGTCTATCCTGAACTCAGTGGCCAGACTCATCCACCTTAACAACCGCTCCTCTTCTGCCACCCCCCTCTGTCATTCCCTCCATTGGCCCCCGATTGCCCAACGCATCAAAATTAAAACTACTAACACAGACATACAAAGCCATTCATAACGCTGCCCCAAACTACCTCACCGACCTGATACCCAAATACCACCCTACCCGTAATCTTCGCTCCTCACAAGACCTCCTACTTTCTAGCTCCCTGGTCTCCTCCTCCCATGCCCAACTGCAGGACTTCTCCAGGACTTCCCCCATCCTCTGGAACTCACTACCCCAATCCATCAGACTGTCACCTACCCTCCTCACCTTTAGGCACACCCTGAAAACCCATCTCTTCAGGGAAGCCTACCCCACCCTCACCTAACTGCCGATCTCCTCCACTCCTCCTACCACTCCACCCCACAGCCACTTACTCCTGTGCCACTATCCCCTCCCTCCTAGATTGTAAGCTCAAAAGAGCAGGGCCCTTGAACCCCTCTTGTATTGTTTGTTGCTGTATTGTTTCATGTTCTGTCCCCCACTATAATGTACAGCGATGAGCAAACCTTTCTGGCACTATATAAATACTGTATAATAATAATAATCTGTATCTCACCATCATCCTGAGGAATGATCAGTTGGGCTGTTCCTGATTGGCTAGAAGGAATCACATGGAATACCTGTCCAGTTTCTGATTCACTGGCCAAGATCATCTGTAACAAGCAATGAGAATTATATTATAAATGTGATCTTTTTTAAAGACAAAATAAAAACAAACATTTGATAAAGTAAATAAAACAGTTATGAGAGAACCATTGAGGCTACGAAACCTACCCTTTCTGCTGAAAATGCCAGTTACCGGACTATGATACTGACACTCTTGTTTCAGTACTTTGAGGCACTGACCCAAAACAGGTATGCAGATATGGATTTCTAACTTTACTAAATTTGTATACTTGTTATAAGAAGCCCATCAAAAGTTAATTGCTTTTTACCATAATCTCAGTTTGCAAGAATCAATTTGCTAATTTCCGTAATAGTTCTAACATTTGTGAGACCTTTCTATTTTATTAAGCAGCATATCATACATATTGTACATTTTTTTATGTAATGTACAAATGTTTATAGCTTTTTATCCAAGAGGCCAACTTATGAGACTAAAATCTCCATGTGTTAAAACTTTAACTTTCATCCTCTGGATCTCTGCTGACAGAGAAAAGGCAATGTAGTTCTGTATTGTACAGAGCCTCCTTTCTTTGAGAAAGCCCTTTTGGGTATAACATGTGAAGTGGCGCCTGAATGAGAGACGGCACACACCCGCTGCTGTGACTAGTGGCTGTGCTTAGATGAGTTTACTTTACTGCTACTGCTGTAAGTATTGTAGTGCAATATTCTATTATTAAACAAGTTTTCTGCACCATGAGGCCTCTCCTTTCTTTTATATATGTGGATGCTGTGCTTGTGAATCCCATTCAATGTGGTCTTATGCTGACGATCCATGCTGGGTGGGTGACCCTTTGAGCAGGGTGATTTTACACACACATGACAGTCGGCACTGATGATCCATGCTGGATGGCCCGTTGAGTGGGCTACCTGAGTGTTACCTTTTTCATAAGCGCATTTAGATCTCCAGTGCTGAGATCTATTATATTTGGTAAGCAGCTTTGTATATCTGGTTTCACTCAAGCACTGGAGCTCGTTTTTGGAATTTTGTTTTGGAACTGTAAACACTCTTCATCACTGAATTTCATCAAATATTAATTGGATATTTTTTTTTGCACTTTATTTAGTGTGACTATACATATAAGTTTAATCATTTTTTGATTGAATACATTTTTATTTTAATTTTGTGATTGAGTTACATACTTTCTGCACTTTTTTATTGGACATTTTGTTACATACTTTTTGCAATGTATATATATATTTAGAACTCTTTTGCACTTTTATATATATATTTTTGCACTTTTTTGAGTTGATGTTTATATCATGCTGATGCAAATTCTTTGCCTAAGCAGGGTAATTTAATTTATATTTTTTATTTTACATATATATATATATATATATATATATATATATATATATATATATATATATATAATTTTTTTTTTTTTTTCCAAATTAAAGTTTATTGACATAAGGTAGCATCCAGAACAAATAGTATGTAAACATCTGGGTACATAGGCAAGATTCAGTTGAACATCTTGCGACAGAAAATACCAGAACACACATACAAGTTCAACATAGCCCTGTATCCCAGAAACTTCAACGGTGATCCCCACAAGGTGGGGAAAAAAAACAAAAAAAACTGGAACTACCCCAATCAAATTTTCTATAAAATAAAATCAAACAGCAAAAGAGAAAACAGATAAAAGTAAAGGCCCAGGGAAAAAAAAGAAGAAAAAAAAAGGAAGGAGAAAGAAAAAAAAAAAAGGGGGGGGGGGAGGGGGACAATAGGGGAAGAGACTAGGACAATCCAGGGACTGATACTTATTATTTTATATTTTAACAGTTTTGTTTAACCCTAAAGACAGTAATGATGGACTTTCAACATGCACAGAATAGCAGATATGCAGGATAGGTGAGGGAAAGTTAAAGTGGTATTAAACCCCAAACCAAAAAATGTAATATAATTCAGATTACCAACCATTAGATGTGAAGGCTGCATTAGTTTTTGTTTTTTAGATTTTTTCCTCTGTTTTCACCTGATGATCTGGCCAGTAGTACCACACCTCCTGTATTAGAGTTCCCCCATACTCTGGATGAAGGAGCACAGGGGCAGCTTTGGACAGCAGCAGCATTGTCAAGTCTGGGGGGAGGGGAGTGTTAGATATAATAGCAGATTTAGATAAACAAAAAAATTGAAGGCATACTCCAGCTCATACTGCATTTGCACAAGCAGTTACAGCACCAGTTTTTTTTCTTTTGGGATAAATGTTTTACATGGATAAATAAAAACTGACATTTGTAAGTGCCCCTGAGTGGTAAATGGTTTGTCTCAAACCTCTAACTGCCACAACTGCAGGGGAGCATGTTCTGTTAAAAACAGACTTACTGGCTGGATCACCAGATGAAAATAAAGGAAAGAAAGCCTAAAAAAAGAAAACTAGTGTAGTCATCACATCTAAGAATTGGTAAGCTGCAATATAATAAATGTTTGCTTTTGGGTTTAATACCGCTTTAATCCACGGGTCTTGCTGTTTGTTCCTGAAGATCACTGACCCCAGTGTTTAATTTTTTAATAATGAATGCAAAATATAAACTTAAACATTGATACTGCTCTACCCTCCCCTAAAAGAAAGCTTACCATTTGAGGGCTATTGCCAGGGAGTGCCTGGATCTCATAGTGAATGGCATGCCCATTTTGATCTACAAGGTGGTACTGTTCAGCAAGTGCTGATATATGTTGGTGGGCACTGTCCTGAAATAAATGGAACACAAACAATTAAGTACAATGTAAGTGCACACATTATCCAAAGTAACAAGGACAATACCTAGGCTCTTATGCATACAATGTATATGGTTGTGTATTGTCTTTCTTTTTATGTTTTGCTCTTCTATCCTAACAGCAACTAAAACCAACGTGAGAATGAAACATGTAGGCTATGGTATTTTATTATGCAGTAAAAATGAGCAAACAGCACACAGGGGTAATTTTTTTTTAAATCAGAGAAAAGTTTATTAAACATTTACAGAGCAATTGTACAATAAGTAAAGCACACATATTCAGCACAAATGCAAATAAAAAGCCTTCAGGGTAAACATGGGTTGGTATGCAATACCATTATAACATATGGTATAGATGGTCCAAATTACGCAGTCATTGATGAAATGCAGCATAAATAAACAAGCGCTTCATTCATACAGCCTAATAAGGGTACACAATATATCAAATAATTCTGTTAAGCACGAGGTCAAGAGGCAACAAACCAGCAGTAGCCAACCAGTCCAACCACAACTTAGTTTAGTAGGGCACCCTCTATGTTGGAAGATAACACACTCAAGTTACTGCGTGTGTCCCATAACCTGGAGCCACTCCTGATGGGTGTGTGGGTGCTCAGACTTCCAATATTGCAGTATAAGCTTCCTAGCCTGGGACAGGGCACTAGAGCTAGCCAATTTTAGTGTGTTCTATTAATGTATATTGATCTAGAATTCCTAGTAGGCAGGATTTAGGGTCCAACTTGACATGAGTATAAAAGACTGAATTTATGGATTCTGTGACACTCCCCCAGTACCTTGATGTTTTGGGCCTCCCCATAAAATTGTGGACTGAAGCACTTACTAAAATAGGAGTTTTAAGAAGTCCCATCTTATGCAATATAGAATGCGTATAATGGGCCCAAAGTAATATATATAGCTGAGAGAGTGTTTGTGATGCACTTAGAGAACGCAGTTGGAATGCTAGACAAACATTTATTTCTATAATGGATAGAAATAAAAAGTTTAGAATATCTGCCACCTTTTAAAGTGTTTGTAAAGGCAAAATGTTTTTCTTTCATTTTTAATAGGGTGTGAAAAGTTAAACCTTCTTATTAAGCTTTTATTACTGTCTGTGCCCCTGCTGGGAGGATTCACCCTTCTATTTGTCTTGCTGACCACTATCACTGAGACAGAAAATGATAGGAAATCACAAACTGTTAAGTATTCTGGTAACAACAGTTTAATGCAGGCCATAGACGGGTCGTTTATTGGCCGAATTTTCATCCGCACGAAAAATTGGCCAATATTCACGCCGTTAGTGGAGCAATGCTGTCGGCCGTTTTTCGTGGATCTTCTCGTTTCTTTTTATTGGTCATGCTGGAAAATCCACGAAAAACGGACATTTCTTGTAGACATTGGTGGCAACGGCAACGACCAATTTTTCGTTTATCGGCCCGTCTATGGCCAGCCTAAGATTAGAATTCTCCTCACCTGCGTCTTCAAGATAGCAAGTAAAAACAAATCTCATCAGTGAGACACAGACAACTAAAAATAGTGTGACTCCAACCGATAGAGGAGGAGTAGGCCTCCCCCACTTAAAGTCATACTACACAGCTTCACTGTTAGATCAGATTTATTTCTGGCGGCATCCAACTATAGAAAAGTCTTGGACAACCATGGAAACGCTCCCACATTCCATGCCTACAACTGACAAAATCCTATTCCTTCCTCAAACCACCCAACACCAAATTATAATCAAGCACAATTGCATACAGGCCTCTCTCCAAGCCTGGTACGATGTTTTAACCTGTGACCACATGATCACCAAAACAATCCCTACCCCAATTACGACTTTATACTTCATTATCCTCTCCCTAAATCTACGACAATGGGAGAAACATGGCATTTCACACATCAGAGACATCTATACAAACACTGAATTAGATTCCTTCTCAGCCCTCCAAGAAAAATTTCATCTGCCTAACAACGAATACTACACATACATGCGCATAGCACATGTTTTACAACAACTAAATTTTCCACATACAATAGCAATCCCTTCTACTACATTTAGCCTCTTACAGAAACCACAGTACACCAAAAAAGGAATCTCAACCTTTTATTCACTAATAACCAACGCCAAGTTTGCTTTAAAATCTACTTCTCTATCCAACTGGGAAACAACGCTTACACTACCAATACAACCCCACACATGGGAAAGAACCTTCACCATCACACACAAAGCCTCCAAATGTAGCTCCCACTGGGAATCATACATGAAAATTTTACACCAATGGTACCTTACACTGGCTAAACTCTCTATATACTACGCTCAACACTCTCCTACTTGTTGGAGACATTGCGGAGAAATAGGTTCAACTTTCCACATATTGTGGGCATGCAAATCTTTAAAATCCTACTGGAATAGAGTGTTCCAATTGATCTCCTCAATCACCGGATCCCCAACGACACCAAACCCAGCTCCCGCTCTCCTACATATAGGGATTGACAAGTTCCCTGCAGATCTTTGCATCATCATCATACATATATTAGCAGCTGCTAAAACTAACATTGCTAATCTATGGAAATCATCCAAAACTCCCTCTATCTCCGATCTCTTTACCGACCTTAATTTTCAATGCGAGATGGAAAAAAAGATCAGCGCTCCACACCTCCTCTTACCACAAATTTGAACTCCATTGGTCCAGATGGCTTCAAAATCCTAACTACGCTATGAAATGATACTCGTACAACCATATTGTACATACCCTCTGCAAACGACTGGTGTTTAGTTCTCCCTTCCCCCCCAACCCCTTTTCTATACCTTACCCACCCTATACAAAGTATCTCACCTCACCCCGGTTTACACTCTCCCAAGCATACCTCTCAGTTAAGCGAAACCTCAGTTTATACTGTCCCTAGCCAAATGGTAGGGAAATTACTGTATATATACACCTCTCTGTACCCAATGTGAACCGCTTGTTGTTCTTGTTGTACCACATATTGTTTTTGATAAAATTCCTTCAATAAAAATATTTGAAATAAAAAATAGTGTGACAGGGTTTTTTAATCATTCCTCACTCTAGCCAAAATCAAAAAAAGTAATTTTCTCCCCTCTCCATACCCTTTAATGTACCATGTGTCCCCACTAAGTGGCCTTCCCTTCACTTTCAAGTGATAGGAGAACCCAGCACTGGCAGCCATTACTGGAACGTGTCCACTGGACAATTTTCCTTTTAGGTCTCACACACACAAGCTGCTCAGGACATCCAACATAAATTTGGAGTATTTCTGTGTACAGCTTCCCATAAACATCTATCTGTGGGTATATGCTGGTACTTTTGTAAACACATGCATTTGTAAAGACATATGACCCTGGAAATAAACTGTCTGTGTCCAAGGGCATATGTCCATAAACATGCGTGTGTTATCAAAAGTACTAACATATACCCACATACAGATTTAGATTTTTATGGCAGCTGTACACAGGCCTTGTGGCTCCTGGACAGGGAATTACACCTAAAATTCAAGTTGTACAGCCCCAGGCACCCATGTGCAAGAGGCCTTACTCAGGTACCGTAAAATGTGGATTTTATTTCACTTTCTATCCTGGCAAAAGTTATAGCCTTTCCCTGTCTAAAAACTAGAAAACCATTCTGGTTGGAGTTCTACTTTAATCTTATTCCACTAAAATATGACTTACTGACCTCAGCTTCCAGTTCTGTTTCCTCTGCTGGAGTATCTACATTGGTGCAGGTGATAAGCAGCTCTGTAGGGCGTGTCACTGTGTCACATTCCAATCCACTGCTCTCCATTTCCAGGTCGTCTGGAAGGAAGGATATGTATGATCAATCAATATATATTTCTATATTTTCACATCACTCTTAATGAGTTATTCACACTTGAGAATGAAGCTGTTAGCGATTACAGGCAGGAGACCCAATGGATATGCCTGGCGATTAGCTGCTGGCAGCAGCCCCGTTGAACGCAATGGAAGGCTGACAGCTCCCGAAGCTAATCACAGCTGTCTGTTTCCAGGGCTGATTATTCACAGATATTCATTACTTGAGTGATTAAATACAAGCCACTGCGATCAGCTGCAGGAACTGACAGCCTCTCTTTAATGGGGCTTCTGTCTGCAGGTAATTGTTGGAAACCCCTGCTGGGTCTCATAGCAGAATTGTGAGAGCAAAGGCAATGTGCTTCTGATTGTCAGTATTATAAGATTTGGTGATGTCACTACCTTGTTGCTTGCTAGGAATGAACTAAAGTACAGGTTGAACTCAATTCAACCCAAACCTAACTCAGCCCCTTCCCACAGGAAATTGTCACATGATAGCAGGCCACCTATCTAGTCAGCTATAGCTGTAGAATTCCTTCCCCCATGAAGGAATTAGCCTTTCAGCATTACCATACCGCCATTTTGTCTCTTAGCCTGAGATCTGCCATTTTAAGATAAGAATCCATTTTGAGATTTATGTCAGTACTTAAAGATGAATTTGTGTTTTTAAGACTGTTTCTTACTTTCGATAAGAGTCTGAGGTTCCTCTTTTCCCTTCAGATGTAACTTCCTTTTTTTTTCCTCTACCTAGCATAAGACTGAAAGTCTGCGGTGGGCTTTTTTCCTGTTGCAAGAGTATAATAAACTGAAGTAATAATAATAAATTAAAAATAAAGCTAAATGATTGGGATTAGACGTATATATTTATTTGATTTGGCAATGAATTTTTGTCAATTTTTTTTTA